GCTCCCAGCCACACACACACAAAACGACACACACACACACACACACACACACACACACACACACACACACACACACACACGGTTTTTTTCGAGACAGGGTTTCTCTGTGTAGCCTTGGAGCCTATCCTGGCACTTGCTCTGGAGATCAGGCTGGCCTCGAACTCACAGTAATCCGCCTGCCTCTGCCTCCCGAATGCTGGGATTAAAGGCATGTGCCACCAATGCCCAGCGCTTAATATGTTTTATTGGTAGGAGTTTTGCGACTTCTTGAACGTTATTTGCTAGGACAATTTCCATGTTAAATTGTATATAGTTTATTAATAGAACCTTAGTTTTACAATACCCATCTCAGTGTGTAATAAACTTATTCCTGTTTTGGCTTCCTGCTGGGTAAGTAGGAAATTATTTAGAGGCAGATTCCTATAAAATGTGTTTTTTCATCTTTTCAAGTTCCCCTTTCTTCCGTTAGCCCTTTTTATTAGTTCATTTGTTATTAAGACAGGGTCTCGCTATGTAGACCAGGCTGGCCTTGACCTTATAGCAGTTCACCTGCATTTACCTCCTGAGTGCTAGAATTAAAGGTGTGCCCAAAGTACCTGGCTCTTTTTAGTCCTTTATTATAACTTTTTTCTTTTTAGAAATTGTAATTTGATACAGTATTTATATTAAGATATTGTAGTTGATCTTTTAAAATACTTTATTAGTCGTTGAGAATTTTGAACATATTTGCTCCTACTCCTTCTCCTAACACTTCCCACATTCACAGTTTAAAAAACTGTGCATTGACTCCCAGATTGTACTGTCCACATTATACCTTACTTTTTAATGATTTGAAATACAAGGAAATTTTGCTATGTTTTTAAACATATTGGGTTAATAATTTCTGGGACGCTTATTATCTTGGGAAAAGGAATAGAATGGTTTTTGTTTTTTTCATTTTTTTTAAAGCTGGAAAATTGAAGCTCGTCATTTTTTCTTTTCTTTTTTTGTTTTTTTGTTTTTGGAGACAGGGTTTCACTGTGAAGCTCTGACTGTCCTAGAACTCACTGTGTAGTTCAGGCTGGCCTCATTCCATCTGCCTGCCTCTGCCTCGAGAGTGCTGGGATTAAAGGCGTGTGTCATCACCACCAGTAATTTTAAAATGAATGTAAATTGTGACTAAATGTGGCTTGCTTTGTCATTTGGATATGTAAATTTGGAGTTTATGATTATGGAGTTTATGGAGTTTATGATGCTCATATGATAATGGTTTAGAAAGCTAAATAATTCAAACTTTTCATTAAAAGGTATTGGTAGATAGTTTTGTGCAGCATATATTGCTGACTGAAATCCAAAATGTTTTTAGTGATGATTGGCATGACCTTCCAAAATGATGCTTTTCACTTAAACAGGAAGTTCTTCTGAGTCAGAATGGTGGGCTACTGGGATACTTATATTGGGAGAGTTTTGATTATTAAAAGAAGAAACAGGGGGCCGGAGAGATGGCTCGGCACTTAAGAGCACTGACTGTTCTTCCAAAGGTCCTGAGTTCAATTACCGGCAACCACATGGTGGCACACAACCACCTTGAATGAGATCTGGTGCCCTCTGCTGGCGTGCAGGTAGAAGACTGAATACATAATAAATAAAATAAAATAAATAAATAAAAAAAGAAACAAATTATCAAGCACATTTATATCCTTGTAAATGAACACATTCCACAGACAATGGGGAAGAAAGATATTTTGGCTCTTTTTCAAAGCAATAGCAATCATAGTTTCACTCTTAAATTTTAGTGCCTTGACTTTTAAGTTAAATATATTGTTACTAGTTTTAAAAATTGTGAATTATACAAAAATTTTAAAAGACAGATTTTCTAAATTTTCATAAGACCCATTAAGACATTATTATCAAATTATTTATAAGCTGGGCAGTGGTGTTTAGGCTCAGCAATCAGGAGGCAGAGGCAGGTGGATCTCTGAGTTTGAGGCCAGCCTGGTCTATAATGTAAGTTCCAGGATAGCTAAGGCTGCACAGACAAACCCTATCTTGAAAAAGCAAAACAACAACAACAAAAATGTATTTATACCAAATAGAAAAACCATGGTTAGTTGTTTAATTTTCATTACTTCTTAAAAGGGTATTTCTTCCCCATAAACTTTGTAACATGCTCCTCACATCTATTGTCTAAAGAAAATAGATGGTTAATATAGGCTATGCCTTTTATATTTTCATCCAGTGTTAACGATAGAGTTTTGTTTTAATGAGCTTTAGGCAGTATTGTAATTTCAGTATGACTACGAACTCATGTAAAAGGAACTTTTGTATATTTTTGGGCATAACTGTGTTTTTTATGTTTTTTTTAAAGACTTTAAACGTGGAAGTAAAGGTTGTGATTATCTGGAAAAGGGGACCAGAAACAAGAACACTTCATACCTTTATTCAGAGATGGAGCACACCCCAATTTCCAGGAAGAGAAAGAAAAGGGGTAGAAGTAATTTACATGATTCTAATAGTTCTAAATCTTCTTTGGATATGTCAACAGAATATATAGTAAGTAGATGTATTTAGATGCCATAGGAAATGACTTTGTGCTGTGATAAAAATGAGTTAATGTAACCAAATAATGAATGTTCTTTGAAGTTTTTACTTTATCGAATTTCTTTCTAGTTCTGTGTAAACTTTATTTTTTGAATTTTAAACTGCATTACTTTTATTTCACTTTATTATTTCTATGTGTGTGTGCATGGGCACACATGGATGCACGTGCATACACACATATGGACGTGTGTATGTGACTCTCAGAGCACAGTTTATTGGAGTTGGTCCCCTCCTCTCACCATGTATGTATCAGTGATCAAAGTCAGGTAGTCAGGCTTGGTGGCAAGAGTTTTCATAGTTTTTGATGTTCTTTTTTATTCAGTGTTTTTGCTTTTGTTACTAAAAGCGATTTTTGTTGCTACCTTTGGAAATAAAAATGTTTAAAAAATCCTCTTACTCTAAAGTTTATTTAGCTCTGACTTTGCCACATATGGAAATTTCTTTATTTGACCCTTTAAAAATGATTTGGGCATCAGATTTAATAGGTTAAGCCCTGTATCACCAGCATACGTGGGTGACACTGCCTAGCATAATCAGTACAGCCACTGTCTGTCCAGACTCATAAAAAGGATACATTTTCATTGTTATGTTATTTCTTATGAACCTAAGTCTTATGCCTTAGGAAAACCAAAATGGAAAAATGTAATTTCTCTACTTTTAAAAAAATGTTCAGAAAGAAGAAGAAAATGACCCAACAGCCTCCAGTAAGCTTAAACAGTCAAGTGAAAACTGTCACCGTGACCCAGCACTTCCTGAAGGACTTACACCTGAACCTTTACAGAGTGAGGCCCCTAATGTGTGCTCTGGAAGGGCCTCCTCAACCACCAGAAGCTCAGAGAGCCCTGTTTCCTACAATGAGGTGGAGAGTTCTTCTCTGGCTGAGAAGGGTGAGGAGTTGACTGTGAAAGAGAAGCCTCTTGTATGTGGAAAGAGTGAAGATAGCCAGTTGTTGATTTCAGCTGAACCAAGTAAGTGAAGAAGATTGTAAAGACATTCATTTTCAAAGCTCTACTCAGAGTGTTTGCTTTTCTCAAATTTTGCTAAGGCTGCTTGGGCCTCTGGAAAATACTTTTAGAGAAAACATCCTCAGTGGTTCCCTTATGAATCTTGTACTATTAATTTAGGTAAACAAGTGGAGTCTGGAAACAGTTGTTTGTTTTGTTTTTAGATTTATTTTATTTTACATATATGAGTGTTTTGCTTGTAAGTATGTGTGTGCAACAAATGAATGCCTGGTGCCCTCAGAGAACAAATGAGGGTGTCAGACTCCCTGGAACTGGAGTTACAGATGGTAACCAGACCCATGTCCTTTGTAAGAACAGCAAGTGCTCTTCATTACTGAACCATCTCTCCAGTCCTGGGAATAAGTTTTAAAAGGTATTTACCATGAAGTAACCCAGTAATTAAAAAAAAAAAAAAACTCTCTGAAGACTATTGTTATTGCATGTTTTAAAGTGGAATTTAAATTCAATTTGATTGTCATTAATTTCATTTGGTCAATTCTTAAAAATTGTTGTTGTCTTCTGATACAAAAATTCAAAAGTCCCTTAAAGGGCACACAGTGAGTTGCACCTATATCTTCTAGGCATCCATTTCCCCTCCCATAAGAAAGTAATGTGAAAGGATTCAGGGCACAGTTAGGAGTGATATCACACTTTGTTAGAACTAGAAACTGTTTGTAAACTTGTCTCTTAGTTCTATTACTGTAACAGAATACCTTATGTAATTGCATAGTTAAAGACTGTGCGTGGAGTATAATTCAGTGGCATAGTACTTGGTTAGCCTTTACAAGACTCTGGATTCACTTTCCAGCACAAAAGAATGAGAAAAGGAAAGAAAGAAAAATCCTGATATTGGTTCAGAGTTGAGAGAGGGAGGCGAGGAAGAGTGGACCCATTGCTTTGGGCTGCTGAAGGTGCTTGTTCTAGATGGCAGGAAATGTGGTGGAGCAGATAGGAGGGCAAAGCCACATACTCCATTTTCCAGGGAGCAAAGGGTATGGCTTGCACAGCAGCTCCATATCCTCTGTGGCAAAAGAGGCCTGAGGATCTTCCATTGCAAGGCCCCACCTCTGGAAGGCTCAACCTCATCTCAGTAGTAACACGCATAGACCCAAGCTTTTAACTTGCAAATCTTTGAGGACACTCAACACCCAGATGTACCATGTTTACTTAAGGCTTTAGTCATCTTATTTAGCCTTTATTCTTTAGAAGTCAAGATTGTATGAGGCTATTGGACAGTAATGCCAATATGGAATCTGTATATAACTACTACTAATCAGGTAGTAAAAGATAGATTAAAGTTGAATGTAGATACTTAGGTTTAATGTGATTATTAAAGATAATTAGAAAGGTTTGTTTTTCTACAAGTCATTATTGAGACACATTTAAAAATGTTTTCCCTTTTAGTTGTTGTTTCCAGTGATGAAGAAGGACCTGTTGAACATAAAAACTCAGCAATTCTGAAGTTACAGCCTAGTCAAGATTATGAGATTGCAAATGAAAATCAGGGTACCTCTGAAGCAAATTTGTCAGAACTACCACTGGGTGCCTGTGAGTCAGTACAGGTAATTTATTTCTGCTTTCTCATTATCAAGGCTTAAAACAATTCTTTTACATATTTGCTTATTTGTGGTATGTGTGGGGATGTGCAGGCCATGGTACAGTTGTGGGGGTGAGGACAACCTGCAGGAGTTCCTGTCACTCGTTATGGATGTTCCAGGGACTGAGCTCAGTTGTTAGGCTTGGTGGAAGGTACATTTCCAGCCCCCAGTGAAATATTCTTATTGGTTAATATCTACTTACTGTTTTAGAAAGCACAATCTAATGATAAAGATTATGCACTTCCTGAGTGTGGGTTTTGCAGCAACTTTCCTATTAGTTTTAGTAACATGCTTTTTTAGTCTAAATATTCTGTGACTTGAATATTTTTTGTGGTTCTCACTAAACTGTAACTTTGATATTTGTCTACTCTTGGAGTAGTATGCCTACTTGGAATTATTTATTTTCCTCACATCAAGTTGTCTATCTTCAAATATAGAATCTATGGTAAAACATAGATTTGATGTGACAGGGTTCTTAAGCACTTACATCTCTCTTTAAAAACATGTATTTATTTTGTGTGTGTATGGTATTTATGTGGAGATCTGAGGACAGCTTATGGGAGTTGCTTCTTTCCTTCCACCATGTGGGTTCTAGGGATCAGATGGAAATCAGGGCATGGGGATTGAAGGCAAATATCTTGCCTGGCCAACTACTTATATCTCTTAATTGCTAATTAAAATGCATTAGCATGGAGAGTCGGGTTAGGAATTAGGAGGAATTGAGGGTAACTATGACTAAAATACATTGTATGCATGTATGAAATTCTCAGTTTGTATTATTATAATATGTAATTCCATATAATGACTATTAATGTGTCATTGATTCAAATGGGAGGGTTGGAACTATTTACTAAACTGGAAGCTTTACCTGTAGTATTGGCAGAGGTATCGTCTGTTGCCAGTTCAAAAGTTCAATCTGCTTTTGCATAGAATATACACTAAAAAACTCAGTCTGTAAAACAGCCTTATTCTGATTCGGCCTCTTGGATACACTGCTGTGCATCAGTGGCTCTGTGTGTAAATGCTGTGTGTTGGGGATACACAGACGGTATGTATACAAGAAATGCCTCATGCCAGTCAGTGTCCATTTTTACTCTTTGTTGACAACCCTTTATCTTTAGTGTTATAAACACTATATGAAACTCATTATAGTTTCATTCTTGTCATTTAAAAATATATTAAAATACAATAGCAAGAATATTATCTTGGTTAGTAGAAGCAATTTTGTCTGTTTGAATACTTCAGCTGAATAGATAAACCTGAGCTTTTGTCTTAGATTTGCTTCTTGCTGAGTACAGGACCACAAAGAAGCAAGTTAACCTAACCAACCACTCCAGATGACTGTTAACTTTATTTGTGAAATGGGGGAGGGGCAGGAGAACCTATTTGGTCAGTAGTCATAGGGATTAAAAGATCTGAATCATTTAAACACTTAACATGAAACAAAAGTACTATATAAATCTAAAACCTGTTTCCATTAATGTAAAAAAAAATGAATAAAGCCAGTTAGGGAATAGTGAATTGAAAATAGTGGCAGAAGAGAATATTCTTATTGAGTTTAGTCTTGGGATTAATTTTGGGTTTGGGTTTTGATTTTATTTAAGTAAATCTAAACTCAGTATCAATATCTATGTTGGATTTTTCTCCCTCACTAACCAGTTATTAGGTTATCCATTTTTTTTTTTTGGCTGTTACAAAGAATTACACAGAAATGACTGATTAAACCTGAATTTCGATTGAGAAAAGCAAAGTGCTCAGCCATGACAGCCATTGATAAATACTCAAATTATTAGTAAATACTCAAGTAAAATGCATGGTCAGAGAATATTAGTTTTAAACCAAGTTATTCTTTCTATTTTTATTTTATGTGTATGAATGTTTTATTTGCATACATATCTATGCACCCCATGTGTGTCTGGTGCCTGTGCAGGTCAGAATAGGGTGCCTGATTTCTGAAACTGTGAGATCTTATGTAGGCTCTGGGAATCAAACCCTGGGAGAAGCCAGTGCTCTTAACCACTGAGTCAACTTTCCAATACACTAAATAATTCTTGAACTTTCAATCTAAACAAGGTGACTGTATCAAAATTGCCATAATTTACAGTTTCTAGAAATTTTCAGATTCATATAAACTCTAATATGATTATGTCTTCTTCCTTCATGGTCACCTATTTACTTCATGTTGTAAATCCTGTGCTGGTTTCTTTTTGAAGCTTTTGCTGACTTCTTTGGGGATTCTAGGTTCCTATTCCATATCCATTTATCCTGTAAAAATGTTCAGGGTGTAGTTTACCATAAAGAAATAATTAGTTACATGTCTGTCTCTTCTACCAGACTTACAAATTTGTTGAAAACAGAAAACACATCCCAACATTTTTAATCTCTATGTTATTTCCAGCACAGTGAAAATTAATAAAAACCATTAGAAAAATATTTGACTTGGATTAAAATCTAACATTAGTCTAATTTAATTCAACAAACATCTGTAAATGTCCACTTGAGTTTATACTGTTTTCAGGTTAAAAGGGAGGGGGAAAAGCATAGCTCTCCATCCTAGGAAACCCAGAGGTTAACGAGGGAGGCTTATGCAAGAATGTAAGTAACCAGAAAACACAGGATAACTCTGGTAGCAATCTTGCTTGGTTTTCTTTACCCCGACAACTTGCCCCCAAGTCACTGGCTTTTCTTCTCCTTATTCCCTCCAATCCAAACAGTAAGTAAACAAACTTGGTTGGGTAACAGTCAGGTAAGAGAGAGATATTAAAGTAAATTCAAGATACAATTCAAAATAGGTATGTTTTTCAACACATCAGAAATATCTCATAAATTAACCTCAAGTCTGTTTTCATTTTTATATGTACACATACAAAATCTAAAAATGTCCAACACTAAAAGTTGAAGAATAAGTTTAAAATCTATATACAAAAAATCTTAGTGACTATTTTTTCACATTAAGAACATTATAAAGAACATTATAATATACTTCAGCTGAATAGATAAACCTGAGCTTTTGTCTTAGATTTGCTTCTTGCTGAGTACAGGACCACAAAGAAGCAAGTTAACCTAACCAACCACTCCAGATGACTGTTAACTTTAATCATAGTTTAAAGAATTTTGTCTTTGAACATAATTTTCAACTTTTTTATAATTCTTAGAGATTTATACATTTATAATTTATTCTTTGTTAGACATCATCTGAAGTATGTCCCTACAATCCTGATATGGAAGACAATTCCTGTATTAAACCTAATAGTGAAATGGATCTGAAACTGGATTTTGTATTTATTTCTGTATATATTGGTAAAATAAAAGGAGCTTCAAAAGGTTGTGCCACGGTAAGTAAATCCTGTAATTTTTTATGTAAAAATCCCAGTGATGTCTCACCACATCATTAACTAACAACAAGCTGAAAAAGCACAACAACAATAGACATATCTAAGTGGACAGGGGAAGGACCACAAGGCTTCAACTCTACACAAAGAATTATAGGCAACTAAGAATGCTGAGAGTGGAAGAAGCAGTCTTCCCCAGGGAAAAGCACACTATTTATCCAATACCAAATGATCTGTTCAGAAAACAAACATACTAACAACATTATACAGACTGAGCTGGTTATATTTAGAAATATATGTGTATCTAATATACAAATATGCATGAAAACAATAATGAACACAGAAGCTATGAATTTGAAAGAGAGCAAGGAGGGGATAGATGGGAAGGCTTGCTGGGAGGAGAGGGAAGGGGGAAATTATGGAATTATATTATAATCTCCAAAATAAAAGAAAAAACTATAAAAATTATTAGTGACCATATTTTCACTTTCAGAACAGTGTAAAGTTTGTTGTAGACAAAATCCAGAAGTAAACAAAAATCTCCATAAAGACCACAAACAATTTTGCATACCAGGACAGCAGCTGTTAAACTGGAATGCATATATTTTCATCTTTCTCAAATGCATGTATATACAGTATTATATATATTATTCTGCAATTTACCACAATTAATTTAATTTACATCACCTTTCCATTTTGGGATGGATGTCTTTTACAATTTCCATTTGTTGTTCATTTCAATCGTCCTAGTGTTTTGCTTTAATTATTGCTGGGTTTACATTGGCCACAGTGGTGTCCATTGTGGTCTCATTTGGGAGGCTGAGGTGGGATGGTCACTTGAGCCCAGGAGTTTAAACCCCGTCTCAAAACAAATTTATCTATTACAGGAAAGCAGTTTAATCAATATAAATTTATGTACATGAAGAAAGATTGAGGAATTGTATAATATATAGAATTATGATTGGAGAACAGTAGACAGTTTTTAAAATTAAAACATAGGAAGTAACAAGGGAAAAGGGTAAAAATCTTAAAAATGTCTTGGTCTTCAAAAGATATTTTTATGTATTCTTTTTCAGACAGTTCATGATTTATTGTATCAGAAATGAAAGAAATGTTTTTTGTTGGGTAAATATGTTAGGTAATTAAATTTAATTTTTCAAATATTAGAGAATTTAATATGTTAGGCATTATTGTAATTAAGATAAATTTCTAAATGTTATGATAGTTACTGTTTAGCTGGATTAGGAAACTAATGATGCAAAAAATAATATGACTATAATATAACTTTCAAATTAAGAAAATAAATGGAATACAAATAAATCTGTATTGTCATTGAACACTTTGTTACTTGCCTAGCACTCATATGTTGTCTATTTGATTTTTATCTTGTGTTCACAAGTTATATTTCTGATATAGTAAACAATTTCATGAATGTATTGATCAGAAGAGAAACTTAACAAAACAAGTAAAGGCAGATTTATTTGTTAGTAAGGGAAAAGCATTTGTCAAAAGAAAAACCCGTTTGGATAGTACATGTAAAGTTTTGTCATGAGAGTTATAAGTACAACACATAAGTTGCACAGACACACAGAAGACAACTCGAGGAGATAGTTTAATGACGTAGAAGGATCAGAAAGAGCAAGGACCTCAGTCAAAGGGAGTTCTGAACAGAACAAAGAAATGATTGCAGGAGATAAAAGAGCGATGTTTGACCAAAAGTTACTTAGCAGGGGGCTGTGCTGCCTTGAGGCTTAATTTATGCCATCCTTTAACAGGTGCATCACTGTCTTGAAGTCAGCTTCATTAGACTTTTGTTGCCATTCTTTATTAAACATTTTTGTTGTTGTTGTTCTGTTTGTATGTCGTAAAAACAATCTTTCAGGTTCAGTTAGTTTTCAAAGACAGAAGGTCCACAGCCTGTGGGGATATAACTAAGTCTTCTGATACTTGTAATGTCTTATTATAAATAAATAGTACACTAGCACCATTGTTTAATCAGTATCTCGTGTGAGTTTGGCTAATCCCTAAGAGAATAGTCATCTTCTTTGGAGGTAGTTGCCTTTTGTGGTCTCCTGGCATTTCTTCAGACATTGTCTTACTTCTTAAAATTTCAGAACACACTTTTGAAAAGTAGAGTTTTACCAATTTTTATAAATGAATATTTTGGTTAAGTTAAAGACTCTGAACCCTAAAACTAAGTCTTTACATTGAGATAGTTCTTTGCTTTGATTCTTTAGTACTTTATTAAGTACTAAAAATTGAATAGTACTAAATACTTGAATACTAAGAAAATTGAATAGAAACGCATTTGGAGTAGTAACTCATTTTTTTGTTTCATATTTTTCTTTAGTTCACAAAGAAGTATATTAAAATCCCATTTCAAGGTAAGCCATCTTTTCTTAATGACATCTTTTCATTGTAATTAAGTATATACTAATTTATTAGAAAAAGTTCTGAAATTTTTATAAGTTTTCCATCACATTTCAGTATAGAAAGTAAGTCAAGTGAGGGCAGTTTAATAATGTTTGATGTCAACACTTTTTGCAGTTCCAAAAAACCTTGAAATGTTATATAGTACCCCAAAGAACATATTAATTATTGTTTTAAAGACTGTAAATCAAATGATAATAAAGTACACTTGATGCTTTCTTAGGAGTAACAAAAATAAAATTTGACAGCACAAGTATTTTGCAATACATGAAAATGATTAAGATAAGAAATAAAGAAAAGAGGCTGGAGAGATGGCTCAGTGGTCAAGAGCACTGGCTATTCTTCCAGAGGACCAGGGTTCAATTCCCAGTTGTAGCAGCTCACAACTGTCAGTAACTCCAGTTTTTGGGGATCTGACACCTTCACACCAATGTACATAAAATAAAGTTAAATAAATCATAAGAAAAGAACTAAGGGAAAAAGCACACAAATGTAGTATATATTTGCATAGACAGTTTTTTTATGCTATATCTTTTTTCCTTGTTTAAAATTTAAATTAGAAACAAGCTTATTTTACATGATAATCCCCAGTTCCCTCTCCCTCCTCTCCTTCCCTACTCCCCCCAACCCCCGCTGAACCCCTACCCCATCCTCTTTCTGCTCCCTAGGGAGAGTGAGGCCTTTCATGGGGATCTTCAAACTCTGTCATATCATTTGGAGCAGGGCCTAGACTCTCCCCCGTGTGTCTAGGCTGAGAGAGTATCCCTTTATGTGGAGTAGACTCCCAAAGTCCATTCATGTACTAGGGATAAATACTTATCCACTACCAGAGGCCCCATAGATTAACCAGACCTCCAAACTGACATCCTTGTTTAGGGGGTCTGGAACAGTCCTATGTCTGAGGTCCATGAGCAACTCCTTGTTCAGGTCAGCTGTTTCTGTGTCTTTCACTAGCCTGGTCTTGACCTCTTTGCTCAGCACTCCTCCTTCTCTGTAACTGGATTCCAGTTCAGTGTTTAGCTGTGGGTATCTGCTTCTACTTTCATCAGCTGCTAGATGAAGGCTCTAGGATGGCATATAAGGTAGTCATCAATCTCATTATCAGGGGAGGGCATTTAAGGTAGCTTCTTGACTATTGCTTAGATTGTTAGTTGGGGGTCAACCTTGTAGATCTCTGGATATTTTCCTAGTGCCAGATTTCTCTTTAAACCTATAATGGCTCCCTCAATTATGCTATCTCTTTTCTTACTCTCCTCTATTCTTCCCCTGACTCGATCTTTCTGCTCTCTCCTGTACTCCTCTCCCCTTCTCTTTCTCCTAACTCCCTCTCCCTTCCCCCCATGCTCCCAATTAGCTCAGGAGATCTTGTCCCTTTCCTCTTCTCTGGGGGACCATGTATGTCTCTCTTAGGGTCCTCCTTGTTTCCTAGCTTCTCTGGTGGTGTGGATTGTAGGCTGGTAATCCTTTGCTCTATGTCTAAAATCCATATATGAGTGGTACATACCATGTTTGTTTTTTTGTGACTGGGTTACCTCCCTCACAATGGTTTCAAGATTCCATTGTTTTTTTGTTTTGTTTTGTTTTTTGTTTTTTCCCACTGAGTAGTACTCCATTGTGTAAATGTACCACATTTTCTCTATCTATTCTTCATTTGAGGGGCATCTAGGTTGCTGCCAGTTTCTGGCTATTACAAATAATGCTGCTATGAACATGGTTGAACAGATGTCCTTGTTGTATGAATGTTTATGCTATATCTTATCTAAGTAAAGCAGAATGGAAATGTACTTACAGCTTAAAGAAACACAGACGATTTTCTCATTCTTTCCCAAACAAAAACATTTCCAGATTAATTGGTTATGAAAAATAATAACTGATAGAGAATAATCTCTTTAAAGAGTGAATTATAAAAAGAGCAAGGAAGAAAAATGTACCCACAAATAAATACTTCAGATATGAACTAGAGTAAAAGAAGCATCATTTCGACATTGAAGATGTAACTGAAGCATCTTCAGTTCCTCAGCTCCTGCATGCTTGTGATTAAGAACTCTGTTATGGTAATAAATCTACAGGTTCGATTACCATTTAAGTAGTGAGAACATATAAGGCACATGATAACTTAATAGCCCTGGCAGAAAACACTAACGTGTTTTAGAAACATGTTTTAGCTAAATGTAGTGTTATCCTTGTTCAGTTCATGTTTAGGCAGTCATATTGGTGAGCTTCTGGGTATAGCTTCTGACATCCCCAGGAGCTTCTGACATCCCCAGTAGACACAATCTCACAGCAAACTTCCTGATCCTCTGGCTCTTACTTTCCCTGCCCCCTCTTCCACAAAGGTCCTTGAGTTTTAGGTTCTGGTTTTGTGTTGTAAGTGTATCACTTGGGACTGGAATCCACAAGCATTTTGATTAGTTGTGTGTTTTCTGTTGTAAAGGGAAGTTTCCTTGATGGGGGTAAGAAATACACTTATCTGTGGGTATAAAGACAAGTATTTAAAATATAGTTAGGGATAATGGTGGTTGCAGGTTGTCCTCCAAGATAGTTAGCTAGGTTTCTAGAACCAAGCATGACTTCCCTCTTGGTGAGGGCTCTTAAGTCCTTTTAGAGAGTTGTTGGTTATCACCAAGGTATTCATGCTACTGCTTTACCCTTCGGATTATTGTACCATGCTGGTCAGACTGTTGTTTGCCTCCCTCCTTTGGAAGCCTGCATAGTGGCTCCTGGTACCATGAGAGCTAGTATTCAGGTTAGTTCAGCTCAGAGGTCTTTGGGCCCTGTGTCTGATGTGCATGGTGTCTAATGCAATATGGACCTACCTTTACCTCTCGGGGCAGCTAAGGGCAGTAGCCTGTAATGTTTGGGAGTCCCTTGGATGACTCTGAGCAACAACTCTAAAGAGGCTTTCTCATGCCTGGTGTTGGGGTCTTTGTTAGATGGTCTTTGGGTCTTGGAGGGAGCATTGTCAGTCCAGATGGTAAAGTTTTGTTTAAACTCTATAGGTATATTTAAACATAGACTTGCTGTGTATTATAGATATTTTTAGACACCCTTACTGTTATTTTGCCCCCTCCTCCTTTTGTATTTATCTCCCTCTTCCTCCCTGATTAGAAGCCCTCATTTTCTCATTTTCCCTTTCACTTGTACCCTCCCCATTGCTTTCCTGTAATGATCCCTGTTCACTTTCCTGGCTTCTGCAATAACTCCAGGTTATGCACTCACTTCTGAAGCTATGAAGCTAGAATCCTCCAATAAGAGACAACATGCTACCTTTTTCTCTCTGAGTCTGGATACCTCACCCGATATGATTTTTTCTGTTCTGTATATTTACCTGCAAAGACATGATTTTATTTTATTTTTTTACAGATGAGTAGTATTCTGTAGTGTATATGTACCACACTTTCATTATCCATTCGTTGTTTGTAGGGCATTTATGTTGTTTTCATTTCCTAACCATTATGAACAGAGCAGCAATGAACATGGCTGAGCAGGAGTCTGTGGAGGGTGATATCAAGTTTTTGGCATATGTCAAGAAGTTATACCATAATTTCTTTACTGTCCACCTCTTTCTTCAGATGAATTATTATTAAATTGCATCATTTCCTCATTCTCTTTCTTCTCTTAAACCACCTTCATATACCCCCTCTTTCTCTCTTTCAAACTCATAGCCTCTTTTTCTTTAACACACAGAAGACACACAGAGACACACAGACAGACAGACAGACAGACAGACAGACAGACACACACACACACACACACACACACACACACTCACACTCAGAGTCCTAAATATATCACTACAACTTGTTTAGTCCCTATACTGTTACTTGCATGCATGTTGTCAGGACTGACCATTTGGCATTGGATAACTTAGGTGGTATGTTCTCCCTGGGGAAAACTGTTTTTCCCATTCTCAGCATTTCTTAGATGACAATTAAATTTTCCTTTGGTAATTTCACACATATTCCTCCCCAGCTTTCTTTTGGGCATGGTGTTTTATCACAGCAATAGAAACCCTTACTAAGACATATAGTATATCAAGAAGTATCAGAAATGGCATGCTCCTAAATAGGTTTCTTTTTAATTGCTTGTTTTATTTATTTCAGTGTCCATGAATGAGGTTTCGCTGTCAGTGGACACCACACATTTAAAGAGATTTGGGTTATGGAAAAGCAAGGATGCTGATCACAGTAAGAGGAGCCATGCTATCATTTTCCTCTGGGTTTCCTCAAAATATCTTCAAGAGATTGAGACACAGTTAGAGAACCCCCTGTTAAGCCAGCAATGTGAGTATAAAGATCATTCCTAAACTTCAGGAGAACCTTAAAACTTATATATGAAGTAATTTCTTCCAAGATAACGTAATAGACTATCTTTATTTCATTGGATTAAAATTAATTTTCTTCAATTAAAAATGTTACCCACTATTAACATTAGATAAATTATTTTACCTCTCCTTGATTTTGCCTGGTAATTTTATTTAGTTATGGAAACATGAAAAGTTGTTTATTTGCAGATAAAACATCTCTGTGCCCTTAAAAACCATATTTTAGTCCATTTGGTTATATTCCTGTTTGATGAGTTATTTTACTTAGTATATAAAACAATTGCTTTATTATGACATTTTCATACTGAATGTACTTTGTATTTGCACTCCATTTCCCATTCTTCCTTCCCTCCCCCTTGGCCCCCTTCCACCCCTGAATAGTGTGCTTCTGTTTTTATGTCATGTGTGATTGGCAGGGGCGTGAGGGAGGAAGCCACCCCTGAATAGTGTGCTTCTGTTTTTATGTCATGTGTGATTGGCAGGTGCGTGAGGGATGTATAGAAACGTTACTGGTTTTCATGTTGCTTTTGTATGCTACTCACTTGATGGGAGTGTTTATCAGATCTAAGATTTTTCTGGTGGGATATTTACATTATAAGATCACATTATAAGATCACAAATGAAGATAATTTGACCTCTTCTTTTCCTGTTATTATCAATTTTATTTCCTTCTCTTGCCTCATTGCTCGAGGTAAGACTTCATTCCCTACCTTGATAAGTGAAGAGAACATCCTTACCTTGTTTCTGATGTGAGGTGTGCTCTCCATGTTCCTATGTAGTATATAGCTTTAGGCATAGGATTGTTGTATCTAGCTTTTATTGTGTTGAAGAATATTCTTTTTATTATTGGTTTCTTCAAGGCAAAAGGATGTAGGATGTTGAGTTTTTTGTTTTTTGTTTTTTGTTTTTTTTTGTCAAAGCCTTTTCTACCTCGATTAATATGATCCTGTGATTTCTGTCCTTAATATATTTATGCATTTGATTACAGTTACTGATTTGAACCATCCTTGTCTCCCTGAAATGGTATCAGGATGGTCATGCTATATGATTTTTATCAAGTTGTTCTGGAATTCAGTTTGCAGGAACTTGTTTGAGTGATTTTAAATCTGTGTTCATTAAAGAATTTGGTTTATAGTTTTCTTACGTGTTGTGTCCCTATCTAGTTTTGATACCAGGGTGATCCTGACTTTCTACAATGCTGTGTGTGTGTGTGTGTGTGTGTGTGTGTGTGTGTGTGTGTATCTTTACCTGTGTGTCTATATGCTTTGTGTGTGCAGGTGCCCATGGAGACCAAAAGAGTATGTTTGATCCCCTGGAATTTAGTTTCAGGTGGTTGTGAGCTACTTGATGTGGTGTTGGGAACCAAACTCAGGTTCTCTGCAAGGACAGAAAATACTCTTAACTGATCAGCCATTTCTCCAGCCCTGTTCCTTACTTTTTAATGGTATGGAAGAATAGGGCAGTGAATCTGAATGGTCCTGTGCTTTTCTTTGTTGGGATATACCTTAGTATTTCTTCAACCTTGTTGCTTGTGATAGATCTTGTTACTTTTTTATATTATATCTTCTTGAATTATCTTTGACAGGTCATACATGTGTAGAAATTTGCTCATTTCTTTTAGTTACTCCATGAATTTAGAATGAATTTTCAAAGTATTCCCTAAAGGTCCCTTGGATTTCATTGATATCTTTTGTAATGGTCTCCCTTTCATATTTAATTTTGTTAATTTATGACTTCTCTTTGTTTTGATCAACTTGATTAAGTATTTCTGAGCTTATTTCTTTAATTTTTTTTTTTACATTTATTTATGTCCATGTTTGGGCACATTCCTTTGTGCCCACACACATGCTTGTGCGGAAGTCAGAGGACACATTTTGAGTGTCATTTCTCTTCTACTATGTAGGTCCTGTGGATAAAACTCTTGTCTTCAGGCTTGGTGGCAACCTTCTTTCTTTACACCAGTCTTTATTTTGTCTAAGCATCAACTCTTTCCTTGATTCTTTGTGCACTGTTCTTTAACTGTCAATTTAATTAAGTTTGCTCTGATCCTTACTTCTTTTTATCGACTGCTTTTTAGTTTGGCTTGTTCTTGTTTCCAGATCTCTCTCTCTCTCTCTCTCTCTCTCTCTCTCTCTCTCTCAAATTTGATGTAAGAGCTCACAGCTGTAAACTCTTAGAACCACCTTTGCAGTACCCTAGTGGTTCTGGTAAATTGTGTTTTCATTTCATTTTATTTGACTCTAGGAATTTAAAATTTTTATTCCTGCCTGATTTCTTCAATGATCCAGTGGTTGGTCACTTAAGAGTGTTTAGTGTTCAAGTATTCGAGTTTCTTTCTTGCTCTGGATTTATAGTTTTAGTCATCTTGTGATATGACCTGATTGAAGAAATTATTTTATTTCTTTTGTGTTTGTTAAGACTTGCTTTATGGGTTAAAGTGTGACTGTAGAGAAAGTTACATTATCCATGATTACTTTTTCTAACAGATTTTGCCTATTATTTCATTATAAACTGTGACATAATTAATAGCCAAGTTAAATAAATTGTAGATATCTCTGTATTCTATGTTTTCTTAGTTTCTGATAAGTTCAGCTTATGTACATATCAGACTTCTAAGACTTGAGTTGAGTGCTTTTCTGTGTGTTCTGATAGCACATACATAGCTACATATATGTATCTTGAAATATTAACTTTATTCTTCAACTCCTAGTGGTATCTGGTTTAGAATCAGGTGAAGTTAGTAATATTTTTCTTACCGCTTTGATTTCAGTCTCCCTTGTACTTTTTTTTTAAATATATGCTAGATGTTATAGGGATTTAAATTTTATACTCATAAAATTAATAGTTTCCTGTTCTAATTACACACAATAGAGAAATTCATAATCAGATAGAAAGGGGCTGTGGAATTATAAAGAGCATTTGTAATCATGGGTGAGTTGATAATATTTGTGTATATGTGTGACCATTATTGAAATGATAGGTTAAATAAAGAAGAAAGTAGTAAATAATGCTTTTTTAGCTGATAGGTGGATCTGTGGTGGAGGCTAGAGTAAAATAATAGTTTGATTATTATTCATTCATTTATACACTCAGAAGCAAATACTTACTAGCATCTTTTAAATGCCAGGTACAGCAGATGGGACAGTCAGTATCATTTGGAATTTTAATTCCAATGAAGTAGAATAGGTAATTGTGAAATTGGGTTTTTGATTACCAGCTGCCTATTTTGAAGTTTAAACTTGTCTGTTATTATCTAAAATACAAAATACTTGGTTGGATTTTACATAAAACCCTTACTGTTATTCACAATTAGATTAATTACAATTATTTTTTAAAAAGTATTGATAAAAATTGATTTCTTTTTTTCTCTTATAGCAAAAGCCAGTGAATTCATTTTCCTCGAGTTAAACAGTTCAGTTTCACAAAAAGAAGAATTGAAATTGAAAGATATTATGATGGAAATAAGTACGACCAATGGAGAATCAGAACTCTCTTATCCATTGTCTTGGGATCAGGCATTACCTTTGTTTCAGGATCTCACTTCAAAAGAAAGCTCCTTTATTCATTATTACTATGATTCCATTTGCTCTGATACAGAAATGAATAGGAAGTCACTGTCTCAGGTTAGCATATGATTAACACAATTACTGGGGATAGGGAGGTAAAAATTGTTTCACTCTTTAAAATGCTGTTTTGTTCAAAGTACATAAGAACACAAAGGAATTTTCAGTGTCAGAGCTGGAAAGTGTCTTCAACAAAATCAGTAATGATTGGATGAGCTTGTAACCAGAGGACTGCATAGACATCTCATACTGATGCCGATATGGAGTGAAGACATGAATGTGTGTTTCATTTTTACTTTTGATAGTCAGATATAGACAGGGTTTTCCTTTTTTCAACATTATGTAAGTCTAACATTATCTCAAAACAATAGTAATGAAAAATGTTACGTTTGGGGACCTTTTAGATGGCTTATTGGGAAAAGTACTTCTCGTGCACGTTTCTGAAGCTCACAGAAAGCTGGAAGGAGAGAACCAACTTCCACACACATGCTTGCCACATGCATGCCCATACATATGCGTTAGTCATAAGTGCATATGCACACAATGTTAATGGTAAATGCATAAAAAATAAGTTGTACCTTTTTATAGATTGATAATATACTTGTGGCTTATATAACTGTCAGTTATGTCTAGAAGGAAAAATATTTCCTAAGTAGCTATGGCAAACACATTTGTTCACACACATAAATATGTACATAAGTGCGTTCTAAGGCTCTTTTATTCAAAAAGCCCATAGATACCCATAATACTGTTAGGTGAAGCAGAAAGCTTAACTATATTGCGTATATAAATTTATATGTCATTTTTCATTTAATAATAGAATATCAGTTATGATATGAGCCAGTCTCCTTTAATTTAAAATTTTATTTTTTCCTAGTATTATCTACCTGTTTTGATTATTTTTGAACCACAAACTTAAATTCTTCTTTAATTGTGGAACTCATACCTGGAAGTAGGACTTTATATTAAATTTTAGCCCTTATATTGTATATGAAATCTTTCAATAAAAATATTTTTCATTTGATTATATATGTATAGTAATTTTAAAAGTGTAGTTGTTACTCTTTGATATACATTTCTTTGAGTCATAGTTTTTTTCAGTTACAAATCTAGATTTTACCTGTGTTTTTGAAAACTAATGTTTGTTTTTATGCACTCATAAGAGTTTTTTTTTTCTTTCAGCCCTCAGATTCAGATGCCATCAAGCCTACTTACACTTTCCTACAGAAACAAAGTAGTGGTTGCTACTCATTTTCTATTACTTCAAGTCCAGATGAAGAGTGGCGGGAAGTCAGGAACACCAGACCTGTTCAGAAGTAGGAGCTGTGTCCCATCCTGTTTGTAGCCGTGTCGTAGTAGTTGCTTTTACTTATGCTGTGGGTTTTAAGCAGGTTACCTTTTAAAATGCTTTGAGTTTACTTTTATGCTCTTGGCTAGTGATGGAAATAATTCTGTTTATGAGGCACATGAAAAAAATGACTTAACTGCAATTTGGAAACATTAAAGAGCTTATTGAAAATCTTGGGATAGCAATGTATGGTTTTGGAAAATGATACTTATATGAACATATGATAAGGAAATGAATCTGATTATTAAAATATCTCTCAGTTTAGGAACTTTGGGTGCGTATTTAAGTTCTCTTTTTAAAGGTGCTACTTGATAGATTATCTTTTATATGTTTTCTGTTTGTGGGAAGGCACAGTATTCTGTACATTGGAGATTACTTCTATACATTTGAGTATCTCCCCCCCCCCCTTTTTTTTAAAGGAGTTGAAAGCACAGGATAAGATTTAAAATTTTCAGTTTTCTTGTTTAAGTGTTTTGGTATCAAGATAAAATCAACTGTGGATGACACTTGATTTCAAGCCATTTTTCTGGTATAAGCATTATAGCTTTATTAAATTACTACATTTGCCCATCAAACGGTTCCCTAATGATTCCAAGGTTATAGCCTGGAATTCACTTCTGGTTTTCTCTCTGACTTTTCAGGGGGAGTGTTAGGAGAATGCTTCTGAGCTGTCATTTGTACTCTGCTACCCTCCAGTTATGATCTTATTGTTTCCTTTATGTTCTCTTCAGCTTACGTTGTAACATTGTAAGCACTTTCCTTGTTACTTCTTCAGTATCCACCTCCTGGCCACCAGAAAGATTGAATGGGTTTTGAGTGCTGGCTTTTCTAAACAGAAAAGGATTCATTTTAGATTCAAATTTAGAATTTGCAAATTGTGGCATTGGGAAACTTTTGCTTTATTATAGCAGTTGCTGAAAGTTAAAAATTACGTAAAAGAGAGACAGCCTTAAGGGCATTGTAACTGATCATAGAATGTATCCTTTTTCTAAACGTGTTTTAGACGTTAGTCTTCTGGGACTAGCCCCATGGGAGTTAGTGGAAAGGAAAAGCTAATGGCCAATGTAACATAGGAGATTTATAAAAATGTAAGAAACTATAATTGGTTATGTCTTGATATTTTATCATATAAAGTTAGCTGTGGATATTACTGCCTACTAGCTGTTTCATGAGAAATCTTTTAATTAATAACATTAATATAACATAAATATATTGCATGTCACATATAAATATATTTTATGTATTAAAATAAGTTCTATTTTAACTTTATTTTTATTTTTTAAAGGTTGATTGTTTATCCTCCACCACCTACCAAGGGGGGCTTAGGAGTAACTAATGAAGATTTGGAGTGTTTAGAAGAAGGAGAATTTCTTAATGATGTAATCATTGACTTTTACCTTAAGTAAGTACAGTAATTATCTTGTTTTATAGGTTTTACTGCAAAACTTAAGTATCTGTTTTTTTTTTTTATTTTTTCCACTTGTACTCAGGATTGAACCTAGAACCTTGTGCATAGTAGGAAAGCCTGGGATATTGAGTCTAGAGCCTTGTGCATAGTAAGAAAACACTCTGTTGAGCTGTACCCTGCCTTAAAATAAGTGTCTTTATCTGAATTATTTTCAATTTTAGTTAAAAGTAACCTGGGGAGATTTCAGATTCAGAAAACATTTTGGTTTCCAGAATTTTACCGAGGTTGACAAATTCACTTGCATTCTCTCACCATCTGTAGACACCACACATCTCAGAAGAGTTACTGCTTGCTTTTTTTACTTAGTTTTTATGTGTTGATTTTTTTTGATGTGTACTTTTTGAACACTGTGTATTATGGTGAAGGAAGTATTTACAAAATTGAAAACACTTTGGGGACAGAAAAGAAACCACTCTATTCAGTGGTCTTTTTATACTCTGAGGGTTAAGAATGGTCACCCGAGGAAAGGCCAAGCTGCATACAGTCACGAGGAAAAGCCATACGTGGCAAACACATTTCCCATAGAATATATAAAGGCTGGCTTGAAATTTAGTTGAGTAACAGCAGGAAGCAATAATCTTAAGTAAACTCAGTCCTACCTGCTACACCTGGGCGGAGCCTGCAAACACATTCCAAGAACAAGTCCGTATTTTTGAAGAAATAGGTCATTAGACTCTTTCTTGGAGTGTTCCCACAAGCATGGTTCTTCACAAGGCTCCATTCCCTTGACTGGTTTCTGGCTACCTTTAAGCATCCTAACAGTTAACTGTCATCTAGAAAAATCTGTCATGATTGCAGTAAAATTTTTAACTTAAAAATGTCAGCTTGTTGAATAGAAAAAGCTTAAGTAATAATTATGAAAGCTCTTTAATTAAGTCTATGCAATATAGGTGTTGGGTAGAGCCCTTTAATCTTGGCACCCAGGAGGCTAAAGAAGGAGGATTGTAAGTTCAAGGCCAGGCTGGGCTATATGGTACACCTCTGTCTTAATAAACCCAAACAAACCTAACTAAAATAAAAAACCCAAATCAAGAACACTAATAATTCCCAAAGCCTTTTCATGCAAAGGAAATTCATTTTTTACCCTTCATTTTGCACCGTATCTCTAGACTTAAGATTTCTAACACTCAGTTGAGGAATCTAATATTTTAAAGGTCATTTTAAAATGAATTTATTATCATTTAGAGTATTTTTTATTCATAATTTTATTTTATTCTAGTTACAAAGGCTCAGAATCTCACATTATTACAAATTTATAGACATAGACTTTAAAGTCTCTAGAAATTCAGTTTGAGCCTTTTAAAAATATATTCCACATAGGAATACAATTCTAATAATTTCATGTATTTTTGTTTGGTCTGTGTAAATTATGAATTGGTATCAGTTGCTGGTTCTTCTCTGTTTTGGTTTTTTGAGGTAGGGTTTCTCTGTGTAGCCCTGGCTGTCCTGTAAGTCACTTTGTAGACTAGGCTGGCCTTGAGCCTAGAGATCTACCTACCTCTGCCTCCCAACTGCCCACCGGCCCGGCTGCCTGAAATTATTAATCTGACTGCACTATCAGGAGTAGCACTTCTTTTTATTATGAAAGATATAACCACTAAGTGATTGAGTGACAGTTTCCACTGGAGAATTATTTTAGTATGAAAATAGATTGGGAATTTAAGCTAGGAATAGTCCAGTTACTAAACGTTTTCTAGATTTATATATGTCATAGTCTTACATGACTCACACTCATGCGATTATTTGGTCAACATTTCCTCCTATTTTTACTTTTTTAGGTTGCAGATGCTACCCTTCTACTGTGTCTCCAGTGTAAATGTGGTGCTTAATACATGTTAGGAGCTTGGTAAACACTTATTAAATAAGTGGGTAATTTCTACTTTTAAGTGGTTGTTTTGAAAGGCAAGAGATAACTAAAAGAGAAGCTGAGAGCCCAAATCATAGAAAAATGCAAGATTTCTTTGAATTTAACTGGATGTAACAGTAATTTCTAGTTCATAAAGGGTAACTGAAGAAAATACGGTAAAATCTAATCACAGTTTACTTTGTGGGCTTGCTTCTTTACAGGTATCTTCTACTGGAGAAAGCTTCAGATGAACTTGTTGAACGAAGTCACATTTTTAGTAGTTTTTTCTATAAATGCTTGACAAGAAAGGAAAATAATTTAACAGAAGATAATCCAGATCTCTCGTAAGTCAGCCTAATGTAATTAAGATTTTAGAGGAATTTATTGTGTGTGTATGGGTGCATCATGATGTGAAGGTCAGGGTACTATTTTCTCCTTCTAGCACATGGATCCTAGGGATTGAATGACAGACAGGCTTGGCACCAGCTTGGCAGCAGCTGCCACAACACTGAGTCAGATGTCTAAGTTTTAAGATGAAGACGACTCTATTTGATGCGCCTAGTGAAGTGTCTTCATTGTAGTAATCCCGAGAGCAAGCATACTAACACTTCTGCAGGTCACTGGTTTGTCAGCTGTGAGAACCATTTCTTATCCTTTCACTGTTCGCTCTGTAATAGGGAGACTGGTTCTTGCAGGCTGTATCTCCAGTTGCATTGTGGATACTAGAAGTTAAGAGAACAAGGAATTAAAAAAAAAAAAAAAAAAAAAAAGAGAGAGCCAGACTATTTCTTCCCTACCCTTTTTGCTTTGGACATGATTACCAGAAGTCCTATTTTCTCTGGATGTATCTCTTACTGGCCATGGTTGCTATCCCTTAAATTTCCACTTGGAGGCACTGCTGCTTTCCTTGCTGTCCACCCTAGGGTGAGTGCAGTGCCCACTGTGCCAATCTCTGATTGCCTCACTGGCCTTTTAAGAATGTGGACTTTCCCTGAATAATATTCTGTTACAAAGATGTAGGGCTGTGGTTTGTTTGTTTGTTTTTCTGGTTAGTTCCTTGCTGACATGCTACTATTTTATTAAGTTAGTGAACATAAAATGAAAAGCATTCTTATTTGCACAATTTTGCTAAATGTCTCTATTCAGTACTTTTTAAAACTATTTTTTTTTTATTAAGAATCAAAACCATTAAGTAGTGGATAGGAGTAGACAAAAATGAAGAAGTAGTTACTATTTATTAGCTAGTAGAAACTCAGATGGTTATTGTAGCATGGACTTTCACAAACCCTTGCCCCGTGCCCAGCAATTTGTATTAGAACCCAATTAATAGATCTCTGAGCTTTTATTTTTTTTTAAACATCTGTCTTCTATTTTATAAACTTCCAGGGCACATTTTTTGTTCATTTCCCTTTTCCTTCAAATTACAATGCTTTTTAGGTACATAGGACCCATATAGTATATTCCTAATTCTCTGTCTACATGTATATCTGTATATACCAAAGCCTGTGGAGGTCAGAAGAGGGCACAGATCCCCTGGAACTAGAATTACACACAGTTGTGAACTGCCATATGGGTGCTGGGATTTGGAATCCAGGTTCTCTGGAAGAGCCAGTGCTCTGAACCATCTCTCCAGCCCCTATCCTACTTCTTTAGATGAAAAAAATAAAAAAAAAAAAAACACGGGACAATTAAGGATTGGATATTTAGAAAAGGACAAATAGCTAGGGACTAGTAGGCCTGGACTTAAATCCTTATTTTTAAGTTTTAGTCCAACATTTTCAAAGCCTTAAAAATGATGATGTTGCTCATATGTGGATTTTAGACGTAGAGTAAAGGATTACCAGCCTACAATCCACACTGCCAGAGAAGAGAGTAAACAAGGAGGACCCTAAGAGAGACATACATGGTCCCCTGGAGAAGGGGAAAGGGTCAAGATCCCCTGAGCAAATTGGGAGCAGGGGAGGAGGAGGGAGAGAGCTATGAGAATGAGAAGGGAAGAGGAGGAGGGAAGCAGAGGACATGAGGGAGCAGAAAGGTTGAGTCAGGGGAAGAATAGAAGAAAGGATATGTGATAGGTAGGGTTTTAGTTGTGGGGGGGGGTGGTAGGGGAGGACGGAAGGGAAAAAGGGAACTGGGATTGTCATGTAAAACAATCTTGTTTCTAATTCAAATTAAAAAATCTGAAAAAAATGATGATGTTGGGCTAGACATGATAACTTAGCAGGTGCTTGCTCTCAAGGCCAATGACCCATGTGGTAGAAGATAAAACCTACTCCTGCCAATTGTCCTTTGACTTCCACACGGGTGTGTGCCCTGTGCACATCTACACACACACACACACACACACACACACACACACACACACACACAAACCAGCGATAGAAATTTAAAAGTCAAACATTAGAAATAATGATTATGATGGTTAAATGAATATGCTTTTTAAATTTAACTCTAATATTTTTGTAAGGTAAATAATAATTTATAGTAATGCAAATGATTATTTATAGTGACGTTTATTAATAGAAACTTAAAAAAATAGGCTAATTACACATAGTTGAATGTAGTTTTCAAGTTCCAAAGTTTAGTTATTTCTGTTGTTTGTAGTGTTATAATGTATGGTCTCTGTTGGGACATACGTGAAAATAACAGGTTCTTTTACTGGTATACACTGGATAACTAATATAAACTAAGGCTGTCTTAGACAAACTGGGATTATGGTCAACTTTAAGTGGCTTTATTGGTTTAGGTCTTGTGTTGATGGGCAAGGCCTTTTAGAATCAAAGAGAAAAAAGCAGTGCACCAAGAGAGAAACATTTGAGTATCAATTCATAACAAAACGCCCAAATTGCTAGTGTTAAACAAACTGTAGTATAAATGACATACATACTATGTGAGGCTACATTTTTTTATTCTCCCTAAACTTACTTCACATTTGCTCATGTATAGTCAACCTGCTTCTTCTCAGTTTTCAGATATGCTCAGCCCTTCCATATTTTCTTCTGAACTCTCTTCTAGCACTTGCATTTTGAAGTGAGAACTCTATAATGTTGTTTTCCAATTATCCTTGCTTTCTGTGAAGTGAGAGACCATCTACCGTGACTTATTCAGTGCTTGGTGTTGTGGAATATTACTTAACTATGTAAAGATGTATTGCACTTGTTTAGGTTGCAGAATATTACTTTCACTATATAAAGGTGTGTTGCATTTGTTTAACTAGGCGAAGATGTGTTACATTTGTTTATGCTGCATTTGTTTAACAATGTAAATATGTGCTGCCTTGCCTACCTAAGACACCTGATTGATATAATCAAAAGCTGAAAGGCCAATAGCTAGGCAGGAGAGGGGTAGGCAGGGCTGGCAAGCAGAGAAAATAAGTAGTAGGAGAACTCAAGGCTCGAGAGGAGAGGAGAGGAGAGAATGACAAAGAAAAAGAGGGAGATCTCCAGGGCCAGCCAGCAAGACATGGAATAGGACATACAGGAAGGAAGGAAGGAAGGAAGGAAGGAAGGAAGGAAGGAAGGAAGGAAGGAAGGAAGGAAGGAAGGAAGGAAGGTAAAAGCCCCAAGGCAAAATGTAGATGAAGAGAAACAGGTTAAATCAAGGTGTAAGAGCTAGCAAGAAACAAGACTAAGGCTGAGCATTCATAATTAATATTGTCTCTATGTCATGATTTGGGAACTGGTTGGTGGCCCAAAAGAAAGCCTGCTACAGCTTGGAACAAAATAGGAAATCAAAACAGAAGATGGTAGTAATGTCTATTACTAAGTAGAGACACTGTTAGATATTTAATTGGAGGTATTTACACAGTTAAGAACTGAGAAAAAGAGACTCGATATACTCCATAAATTTCCTTCATTTAGTGTTGTGTGTATGAATGTGTACATACACCTGTGTAGCTGGAGCTCTGAGGATGACTTTCAGGAGCTGATCCTCTCCTTCCACTCTAGAGTCTGGGGAGTGAACTTAGGTCATTGGGCTTGTGCAGCAAGTACTTTAAATGTTGAGAACCAGCTCCTAGCCCTTGTATTTTCTCCCATCATCCTTGCGTAATTCTATGTCTTACGTAGTCCCAAATACAGTTAGCTTAAATATGAAGTCTACTAAACACTAACATAACAAAATAAACCAGGTGTTCATCTTTAATGTTCTCAAACAGAAAACAGGTTAATAGTTTATATACTAGTTGAAGTAATTGTTCCTAATTTTATATAATTATTGAATTAAAATGAGAGCATTCAATAAACATAACTTCTGATTATTTTACTTATAATAATTATTTTTCATATGGTGTTTAATCTGTCATATCTTTTTAGCTCATTCTGGATTTTCTCTTAACCCTGATGTTTACTCATAAGGTTTGATATTGTTCAGATTGTACTATATATTGATATAAAGTACACAGAGATTGAAGACTTCTGAGGCACTGACCCAGAAATCTCCTTTGTGCCATTTTAAGTGCCCACTTTTTTGGTTTTTCTGAGACAGGGTTTCTCTGTGTAGCTTTGGAGCCTATCCTGGCACTTGCTCTGGAGACCAGGCTGGCCTCGAACTCACAGAGATCCACCTGCCTCTGCCTCCCAAGTGCTGGCATTAAAGGCGTGTGCCACCAATGCCCGGCCTTAGGTGCCCATTTTCTTTGTAGATGTTTGCACATCCAAAATTAGTTTGCTACAACTCCCCCAGTGGTTTTTTTTTTGTTTGTTTGTTTTTTTAAAGTATAACAAATGCTCAAGGTGGCTGTTCTAGATAATTTAGTATAACTCTTTGTATCCTTTTTTGGCACTGTATTTTAGTTATTTCTTTATATTTTCTTTTGCCTTCTTTAAATTATAAATTCATTTCAGACAGTTCAGGTTATTGTCATCATTTGTTCTTTGGAAATGAGTAAGTTCCTGTTGGGGAACTGACAGGGAAGTGGATGAGGTCAGCAGATGCACAGCCTTCTCCTGCAGTTCCCTTTTGTGTGAAATTAAGGGAGGTGAAGTTTACATTTTACAATTACAGACAAAAAAAAAATGCATTTCTTCTCTTCCATTAGGTTTTAACATTTAACACAGAGAGAACAGTTGGGTAATTTCCTTAAGGTTTGATGATACTTTACATAGTCCTCAAGTGGAACAAAGTGGAAAGATTAGGTTTGAGTGTGTCTGTGTTCAGCTGCTGAGCCACTTTGTAATCTACAAAGCATTTAGCAATGTGCTGCTTTTACTGTTTATTCCAGTGTTGTTCATGGTACTCAGATAGGAGAACAATCAAATATGTTTCTGCCATGTTAAATTATATACTTTGAAGATGGGGTTTAACAGACCTCTTATTTTCAGTGTAAAAGGTGGCTTTTAATCCCATAACTTAGAGACTTTACACTTTTAGTTCAATGTCTTAAATTACAACTTTTAAAATAAATCTACATGTCTTTCATATTCCTAGGATGGCTCAGAGAAGACATAAAAGAGTCAGAACATGGACTCGTCACATAAATATTTTTAATAAAGACTACATCTTTGTACCTGTAAATGAGTCGTGAGTATTTTTGACTATCTGAAAACCAGTTAGGATTTTTTAAATCTCTTATTAATGCAGTTAGGATTTAAGAAAAAAAATATTTGAGGTATAATCAATAAAAAGTATGGGCATATAAAGGCATAGGTCACTTAAGTTTTTAGTAGAAAAAAATGGCAGATTCCTCCAGTGTTGTAATAACCAAAGCAATTAATTTTTTTGTTTTAAGAAATATTTTGTAAACTAAAGCTATCAGAAGAGAATACATTCCTTAAATTATAATACAAAAAAGTGATGTTACTGGTCTGTTTATTAATAGAGATCCTGAAAAGGAAGTACTGAATGTATGCAGTAGGTAGCATTTGTACTATTCAGACAGTACTTCAGAAACTTTTATTTATGGCCTTGGTAAATTGTGGCAATTGGTGTGGAGTGTGTGCTCCATCGTACATGACATGCTGTAGTGGATGTCTTCATAGTGAGAAGTTTGTCATATCTACTGTCACAGATGTGGCTCTAGAAGACTCTTCCACATTGTGTAATTTGGCGTGTTATTAAGATTATAGTTCTTTTCAACAGGTCTCATTGGTATCTCGCAGTCATTTGTTTCCCATGGTTAGAAGAAGCCGTGTATGAAGATTTTCCACAAACTGTGTCCCAGCAGTCCCAGGACCAGGAATCTCAACATGACAATAAAACAACAGGTGACAGACATTGTTAATAATAATCACAGTAATAAGCAGATTAAGGAAAACAATATGAAGTTAACAGTTCACCTATTTATTATTAAACTTATTAAAAGGGATACAAAATGTTTGAAATTCTCATGATTCTCAGCATTATACAAAAATGTAATTCTAAAGTCATACTGTTGATGCTATATTTCATTGTAGCATTTTAAGAGAATAGGCTGCTAACATGACTCAGAATTCATGGTAGGATTCTTCATGCATAGCTTAAAGTCTCTAATTTAATACTTCTTATATACTAGTAAGTCAGAGGTAACATAGTAGCTCATATTTCTTCTATAATTTTCTTGTGACATCAGGTCTTAAGTAAGCAAATAAGCCTATTTGATAAAACAATAAAAAATTAAGTGTTTTGTAGTTGTAACCTAAATAGCAAGGAAAATTGATAGTAGTTTTCCTCACTCACACTGTCCAGAACCTGGGGAGGAGACAGGGAAAAACTGGGGACTCCTGTTTATTTTTTATCCTTTTGAGCTTCAAAAGTTGTGAGAACCATGACATGAAACTACCTTCCTCCACATTAATGTACACATTTTTATTAGTTTTCTGTATTTGAAGATAGTCTTTTGGGAGGAACTGGGCCCAGCCAATTTGTATTTCAGGTTTTGGTTCTGAGGTTTCTATATTATGTGACAACAGCCAACTCTTAACCAGTTAAGTTTTCTCATAACCAGTATCTGTTAAGTTTTCTCATAATACTGACTATATAATATATATATATATATATTATATATATAAAGATTTTATTTATTTATTATGTATACAACATTCTGCTTCCATGTATATCTGCAAACCAGAAGAGGCCACCAGATCTCATTATAGATGGTTCTGAGCCACCATGTGGTTGCTGGGAATTGAACTCAGGACCTCTGGAAGAGCAGTCTGTGGTCTTAACCTCTGAGCCATCTCTCTAGCCCTATAAAAATATTTTTTCTTTAATTAGTACTGTGGATACCTCTTGAAGTTCAGATTGTCTAAATTATCTGTGTTAACACACAATAAAGACTCACAGTGACTTCTTTGTTATTAGACAATGATCCACGAACCACTTCCACAGCATCCACGAGTGCAGAGGATTCCCAAGTAAGTGTGTTCTGTCCAGATGTGGAGAAGAGAACTCTTAACAATGACAATGTTAACTACAAATAGTGCCTTCCTAAGCAGATGGAGATGGGTGTTAGTGACTCATAATTAAACTGTGCTCCTCTTTGATTGTTTCAGCAATTTTTGGGAAAGAACATGAAGTTACCAGTCTTGCTGATTTGTTTAGTTTATATCAACTTCCTCTCTTAGAGATTCATTGTGTCCTTTAGAAAAATAATGGTCCTAAGATGGTCTTAGAAATCAGCTTGATCTACTCACTCAGGAATTTATGAACGAAACCATTGTCAGCGAAGCTCACAATTGTTAATGCTTTTCCTTGCTTCTCAGCCTCTGGCTCAGATCAAGTGCAGATTAAAACTGTTTCAGTTGAGGGGCCTGGGCAGTCTATGGGGCCTCTGGCAATGGAACCAGTATTCATCCCTAGTGCACGAATGGACTTTGGGAGCCCATTCCCTATGGAGGGATACTCTCAGCCTAGAACATGGGGGAGGGCCTAGGTCCTGTCCCAAATGATGTGTTAGACTTTCATGATTCCTCATGGGAGGCCTCACCCTCCTGGGGGAGTACATGGGGGGTGTGACATAGGGGGAATGGAGGATGGGAGGGAGAGGGAACTGGAATTGGTATTTAAATAAAATAAAAAAATCCTGTTTCTTGTGCTTCAAAGGAAGAAATGTGTCTCTACAACCTCAATTGAGTTGCAGAAAGTGTGCAGGCACAAGTTATCTTTCTTGTCTTTAAGATAATAAATGAATAAAGATAAAAATTTATGTTATTGTGTAGGCCCTTTTAAAGCATGTATATGAGGGCAGTGTGAAAGTGTATCAGTCAGTGAGTTTTGGAAAGTGGAGTTAGTTAGATTTATTTTGAAGCTAACTGTTGAGAAAGAACTTTTACTTGAAAATTTAATTTCAGTATTTGAAACACTTTCAAGAATAAGTGGCTACTAATGTATTTAAACTAGCTTAAATTGCAAAGACAAAAATTCATGTTATTTCAGAGTACCGAGATGAATGTGTCAGTACCAAAGAAAATGTGTAAAAGGTAAGTACATGTGATGATAATATTAATAATAATAATAATAATAATGTAAAGGTTTGAAAATTCTATTTATATATTTGTATATATATGTATAGTTAAGGATTTATTTATTTTATGTGTATGAATGTTTTGCCTGTATGTGTATATTGTACCCGATGTGTGCCTAGTTCACTACAGAGGTCAAATGAGGGTGATAGATCCCCTGAAACTGGAGTTACAGACAGTTGTGAGCTGCCATCTGGATGCTAGGAACTGAGCCCATATCTTCTGCAAGAACAAGTGCTCAGAGCCTAAGAGCCATTTCTTCAGTCCTCAATTTTGCTTATTTATTTATTTATTTATTTATTTATTTATTTATTTAGTGTGTGTGTGTGTGTGTGTGTGTGTGTGCGTGTGCGCGTGTGCGTGCGCGTGCGCGTGCGCGTGCGCGCACTCTCAAGCTTTGGCACATGTCATGCACAGTACACATGTGGAGGTTTGAAGACAGCTTTTGTGAATTGGTTTTCCCCTTCCACCACGTGAGCTCCCAGTATTGAAGTCGGGTCATGAGACTTACCTCATCAGGGTACCTGATGAACTATCTCACCAGCCCTGGATGTTTTCTTTGTTTGTACTTTGGTTTTCACCTTTATTTAAGTCTGTGCATCCTGATTTCTTCCTTTGTGTTTTAAAGGCCGTGTATTCTCATACTAGACTCCTTGAAAGCTGCTTCTATACAAAACACAGTTCAGAATTTACGAGAGTAAGTAACGACAGTTTTCACATTCAGTCTGTTATCTAAAGCCTTGGCTTTTCTGAAACTACCTCAAGTGATACTAAAAGCAGTCCTGGAGATGTGGGGTTGGGTGATGTAACATCAGGGCTCAGAGGCAGTGTTGCAGCCTAACAGGCAAGAGGGCCATAAATTCAAGGTTGGCTTCCAAGGACAGTGGACGGTAACAGTGAGATCCTGGCTACAATGAAAAAAGAGATTGATGATAACAATGTTAGTAATCTTTTTTTGCTTTGTTTTTCAAGACAGGGTTTCTCTGTAGCTTTGGAGCCTGTCCTGCAACTTGCTCTGTAGACCAGGTTGTCCTCGACCTCACAGAGATCCGCCTGCCTCTGCTTTCCAAGTGCTGGGATTAAAAGTGTGCCTCACCACCTCCTGGCAGTAATTATGTTTTTAACATGAACTTAAATGAGTCTGAAAATCTGATTGCCAGCAACATCCCCTATTGAGTGTTAATAGTGAAGGATTTAGATTTGTCATAGGTAAATTCAAAATTTTTATTTGTAATTGAACACAACCATAATATTATACAACATTGCAGATATTAGTGATTATCAAAAATAAAACCTGAAAAGAAAGTAGAAACATGTAAGTTTCTGTTTGTGCATGTTTTCCTGTTTGTGGAGAGAGAAGGAGAGAGAGGGGATCATTGTACAAAAATTTGAAAATCAGGCGGATGGGTTGTGAGATGGTGGCATGCTTGTGCCTAGGCCTAGGTGTGGAGGTCAGAAGACAACTTGTGGGAGTTGGTTGTCTTCTTCCACCATGTGGATCCTGGGGATCTAACCCAGGTTGTGAGGCTTCGAAGCCAGAACTTTGCTAGAAAGTGCCTTTACCAGTTGGCACTAGAGAGGAATTTTCAAATTTAACATAGGGGCTGAAAACAAACACATTTTAAAAGCCATGTGTTAGCTTACTTTGTAATATAAATAATTTTGTGTTATCTGAATTGTGAACATCAAGTTGTTAAAAAACTAAGTTTTATTTGAAATCACATCCTTTTCTTCAAAGTGGCATTTGTGAGGGCTCATAAGTTACAATTGTATTGTTGAAATTGTGTCTTTAGAATTTAATTTGAAGCAGCAGCTTTTGTAAAGGAGATGTTTTCTTCCCTTGTAGAAAGTGTTGCAGACTGACCAAGGTTTCCAACCATGCTACTTTCCTTATTGATTATTTCAGGTATTTAGAGGTAGAGTGGGAAGTTAAACGGAAAACTCACCGTGAATTCAGTAAAGCCAACATGGTGGATCTGTGCCCGAAAGTCCCAAAGCAGGACAATAGCAGCGACTGCGGGGTCTATCTACTGCAGTATGTGGAAAGCTTCTTACAGGTAAAGTGCACGTATGCATTTCTCTTGCAACTCACAGTTACCAATTCTGGCCAAGAAGAGGCAGGAAAAGTGAGTAGGCAAGGACACACAGAAGAGACATGGAGGCCACAAGTGACCCAGATGGGAGAGTCTGAGAACTTTACAGTTCTTTGGTTATTATGTTAAATCAAATAAAGCTGTAGAGGAAAAAAATGGATGAAGATGTGAAATACAGAAAATACCAAGTTTACATTCTAGAGCTGAAAACATACAATAGTCTATTAAGAACTTATGTGGAGTTCTTTTTTTTTTTAGGGATTAGAGAAAATTTCATTTTCATCTTCAAATCTTTAATAATTTGGCAAGGTAAATTATGGCATTATCTCTGTTACAAATGAAAGTTTAGAACTTCACAGTTGTTATTTATTTCCCCAAATTGTCAAAAATAAAATATACATAATAATTTACCAGTTAAGGAATAAGAATAAGACTGCGATTTGGTGAGAAAGTTTGGTAACTTGTCAAATATGGGCTAGCTCAAGTATTGAAGCATACCATTGTATCAATGTTATTACTGTTTATTTCTGTGCTTTTATATTGCTAATTTTATTGTCGTGTTGGTTCCTTTCATGCATTACCAATCTTGCTGTTACTAGTTCATTCTTAACTATTCCGTGTGATTGCGAAATAAGACATCTTTCAGTAGTAATTATTTACTATCTATATGATATAGTATTTATAGACAAATAATTTTTATAGATACTTTATTTTTTTAAAACAATCTTTTTGTTTTATTATGTGGAGTTCTTAATGTGGTGGTGCATATGCCTGTGTAATTAGGTAGCTGAGCCAAGAGAATGAAAAACAGAGAAACTCACTTAAAAGGATAAGGTCGGGACTGGAGCGGTGGCTCAGCAGTTAAGAGCACTAGCTGCTCTTCCAGAGGACCCGGGTTCAGATCCCAGCACCCACATGGCAGCTCACAATTGTTTATAATGAGATCTGATGCCCTCATCTGGCCAGCAGGCATGCATGCAGACAGAACACTGTATACATAATAAATAAATAAATCTTTAAAAAGGATAAGGTACTCATTTAGGTGGGTTGTGGGTCTACCTAGTCTTTTGCAGTATGACATTATCCAGTGTGTCGTGATGCATTCATAGCTGTCCTGGGGTGCACGTGACCTCAGGGATGCAGGTGGGACACAGCTGGTAGCACACCAGATACAGCAGAAGATAGAACTTGAAGGATAGCGGAATTAGAGAACTTGAAGGAAACAGAAAGTGTCCAAGGGGAGTTCATGGAGTAAGAGAATGTAAAAAAGAGATGGGTACGATAGGGTGAAGGTCTCATTTTCGTATAATTGGAATCATAGAAGGCTTAGTAAAGGAGCGAGTAGGGCAGACAAAATGCTAAAGAAAAATTTCCAGATGCAAAAATACCCATTTACTTAAGAAGCTCAGGACATCAAAGTGGAGGAAACAATTAGAAGCATGGCTCTTATTTTCTAATTCATAGACTTTATTGGAATGTAGCAACATTAAAGGCAAATCTTTAAGTGGTGGGAATTGTGGTCTTTTCAGCAGCTCGTTTAGTTCTGTCACTAGCAATATGTATCACCTGAGAAAATACGTTTTGACCAGAAGTCTTTTTCGAGAATTCTCATCTGCAGTTAGGACTCTCCTGTGTCTTTAATATTGGGAGGAAGATACTACATAGTAAAAGATGCTTCACATTATAGAAATTATCATGAAATTGTTAACATTGTACTTAGTCCCCCCTGTATTCCACATTGGAACTTCATTATGTGGTGACAGCTGGTCCTCTAGTATTGTTCCCATGTAGATTTTGATTTAAGGTTTAGAATGTCCAGCAGGTATTGTTAGTGATGTATTCTTCCTTTGTTACATAATTCCAATTTTAGTAGCCCCAGTCAATAGAATATATGTTAAATACATAATCACCATATAGAAATAGAAGCTAAAAATTGTGTACTAATATAGCATTGACCAGGTTAAAAACAGAGGCTCGAAGGACCACTGGGTTTCCCTAAAGAAAACAATACAAATTCTAGTAAAACTATCAGGCAGTAAATACCATGTAGGCATTGGTCCATAGGCTCACTGTCAGTGAGTCCATCTGAAGATTACAGTCAGTCCATGCTCTCACCCTGTCTTCTCCAAGGTGTAAGTCCCTACATTAGCTTTCTAACAATTTCTTCAGATTTATAAACACCAGGTAAGGGTAGCCTTAGCAACTAAAAAAAAGTTAAATGCATGGAGAATGATTTCAGAGTTGCAACACCTTTGCCATTAAATTAACAGTGTGGAAATATAGCTGTCTAGAAGTTGTGTCTTACCCAAAAAAATGACTTTTAGTGGGACTCCATGTTTGCAATTCTGGAAATCTTTATCACCAGGGATTTCTCCATGATAGTTTAATAATATTAACATGGGTTCAAAGCAGTCTGATTTCTGAGGTCTGCTGAGTCATTCTTTACCAATTATAACCACATAGACATGCAGAGTAACAGAGGAAACTATTTAATTTTAATGTTCAAAAGTTAGCAGTTTAATAAAAATGTTCTAAAATTGATTGCGGCCACATACCCCTGTTGAGAAACTGAAAACTACTTGTGTGCTTTGTTTGAGTGCTGTGGTATGCTATGCAACCAGCTGGTGATTTTTGAGAGGTATCATTTTTCACTTTTTATAAAACTGAAATTAAGAAAAAATGAAATAATGATGTCACACTAATGGCATTCTTTCTTTTCTCTATTAGGACCCCATTGTTAACTTCGAACTCCCAATTCACTTGGAGAAATGGTTTCCTCGCCATGTAATAAAGACCAAGCGGGAAGATATCCGAGAGCTCATTTTGAAACTTCATTTACAGCAACAGAAGGGCAGCAGTAGTAGCTAATCTGTGCAGACATGGCGCATGCTCTCTAAGCTTACTGGAAAGCCGCTTACCAGCATTTGTGTCAGCTTACAGAGAAGAAAGTAACTTGCTGTAGTTCATATATTGTTGAAATGTATATGGTATCTTGTTTGAGTCATTGGGCTCTCACAGCTGAAGGTGTCATAGAAGCACTTATAAGACAGAAATTAAAATTTCATAAATATATTTTTATGATTAAATATGCTTGGATTATGCAATAGCATATGTAATGTGGGAATGTTTTCGTAAGTAATAAAACTCTGTGATCTGTACTTCCACATGACTGGGTGTTGATGGGAGTTAGGTTCTCCCTGGTGCCAGCCCCAGCACTTGTCAGATTTGTTGACAAGTCACATCATATTGTAATTCTATTCTTTGCAGCTCAAGCATGCAGTATGAATACTGTGTATTTTTTTAAAAAAAGGACTTAGTATCAAGGCTTCAGAAAATGCCATTCAAGGCATCCCTTCTGTATAGTGTGAAAAAAATACCATTAGAAAAAAATTTACCCTTTCTAAGTGCAGCTTATTATTCTCAATTGCTAAATGGAATTACTCTGCTCTAATTCCCCTCCTCCATTTCTTTCAGTGTCATATATAGAGGTCTGAGAAATGAGTTTATTTGTTCAGATAAAACGTGGAACAAATTTTATGTACCAAATAAGTTAAAAAAATTATGTAGCTAAGCTTTGTTAATTTGAGGTATAGCTATATAAATATTCATTCCTACATTACCCCAGAATGTGTGGACACTGTTTCTATAAGGGATAAAATTGGTGTCCTCATAATTTTAATAAAGAGAATACCTTTAAACTTTTATTTATTATTTAGAACCAAATATGTAATTTTATAGTTTGGTTGCCCACTATTCATCTGCAAAACCAGATTTATCATTTCTTTTATATTTTTAAGTTATAGTTTTTAAAGATGTATGATCCCCCAGGGATCTCATACGTACAGCCCCTAATATTTTATTAAATGTTCAGGTAACAGTTCTATTGAATTTATGTGATGACGGTGGTATTATCTGTTAATACACTATCAGAATACTTTGAGGGAGACGTGATCATACTGCTTTCTCAGATAACGGACTTGAGAATATTACTTTAAACATCTCTTGCTTTTATGGTTTATAGCTGTTATGCTGTTATAACAGTTACAATGTATGTAAAGCATTCGAAACAAAGTCAATTTAAGATAAAACTAAGAAGTCTGAAGGTCTTATTTCAAAATCAAGTGACTTGGGATTGTCAGTTAGCCTTAGTGTCCTCAGTTTCTATTGATCTTGTCTCTCTCGTACTGTTCAAAATACATGGCTTTTGGAGATTTCACATGAAAACACATATTTCATTTTCAATTTATCTGTTTTGGGGAGAAGCTTTTTTTTTTAAAGTGGCTATTAATTGTTTTGTACATCTAATTTTGGAAAGCAAGTATACAAGCTATCTTGTAATTTCTGAACTTCTTTGTGTGTTTTTCAAAGATACCACTGTCCTTCATCATGTTTTGGAGACTGTTTAAAATTTGTTTTCCTAAATTCATGTAGAAATAATGACTTGAGGATGTCAGCATTTTATATTAAACATGTTTTCAATTCATTAAATCGAGGTGTAATTTTTTCTTAAATATGAAGCACTGCTAGAAATGGGTGACAGCTAAATCACCTCCTGTGATGGATAACAATCAAAACTCTAATTAAGAGCATTATATAAAATTACCTCAGGATATGTATGGGGAGTATGTATGAAACATAAATGAACATTTATGTTTATTATGCTAGAATTGTATTTTTAACTCTATTGTGTCCTACATCTACCATGTAATTGGATGTTTAATTTTTCTTAACATTTTGGCAAGTTTACAGTTAATTTGAATGTCTTTTTGTTTAAAGGAAAATACTTTTACTTCAAGTTGAGCAACTTAATTAGATAAGAAGTGTTCCCCAAATCCATAATCCAGAATGCTCCCAAATTTGAAGCATTCTGAGCATCAGCATGATACAACAAATAGAAAATTCTGTACTTGACTTGTGATGGATGACAGTCAAAACACTGAAAGTATAGTATACAATTAGATCAGAATATGTACAAAGAATATATATGAAACATAAATGAATACCATGCATACACTTGGTCCCTTCCTTAAGATATAGTCACACATTTGCAAACATTCTAAGATCTAAAGCATACAACCCAGGTATTTCCTGTGATATCCAGCTCCCATCGTCTGATAGCCAGTAGTAAACACAAGAAAATGAATGCTATGGTCATCAGGCTCTGTGGGTAAAGGCATTCACGGTGTAACTGGTGCCCTAGTTTGCTTTCTGTTGCTGTGGCGAACACTATGACCAAACCAACTTGAGGAGGAAAGAGTTTATTTCATCATATACTTCCAGGTCACAGCCCTTGAGGGAAAGAAATCAGGGCAGGAACTTGAAGCAGAAACCATGGAAGAACACTGTTTGCTGGTCCAGTCCCTCTGCCAGCATTTTGCCACACACACACACACACACACACACACACACACACACACACGAAACATACTTTTTATAATACTTTGTATTTATTAAAAGTTTTACACATTTTGATTTTATATCTATCCACTGTTATCATCTTCTAATACCTGTAGCAAATTTCTTTTGGACCACCAACCAGCTCCCAAATCATGACACAGAGTTAATATTAGTTATGAATGTTTGGTCTTATGCTTGTTTCACTAGCTCTTTTAACTTAAATTATCATGTTTCTTGTCATCTAAGTTGTGTCTTGGGGCGTTTTTATCTTCCTTCCCTTCTGTATATCTTACTTTGCTGCTGTCTCCATGGCTGGCTGGTGGCTGCCTGGCTTCTAGCCCTGGGGCAAGTCCCTCTCTTTCTCCCCTCTATCTAGATTTCTCCTCCTACTTATTCTCTGCCCACCAGCCCCACCTATCCCTCTCCTGCCTAGGTATTGGCTGTTCAGCTTTTTATTAGACCAATCAGATGCCTTAGGCAGGCAAGGTGAAACAAACACAATGCATCTTTTCATAATTAAACAAATGAAGCATAAACAAATGTAACATACCTTTACACAAAGTAATATTCCTCAGCATAAATGAATGTAACACATCTTGCATAGTTAAAATATTGTTCCACAACAAATGCCCACAGTGCCTTCCACTTTGTTACCCAACTTCATGCCCTTTTTGCTGTTGTTTATTAGTAGCCCCCTGGTCTAATTAGTGCTTCCTGTATGAGACAGATGTGGGGGCCGTCCACTGGGGCACGAACCTCCTTCTCATCTAGCTTTTTATTACTGCCCAGGCCCAACTCCCCAGAGGTGGAACTGCACACAACAGTGCACCAAGCCCTCCCACATCAATGAACAATCTAGACACTTCCCCACAGGCATGGTCTCAGGTCAGTCTGATCTGGGCAATTCCTCAAATGAGACCCTCTTTCCAGGTGACTCAACTGTATAAACTTGACAATAAAAACTAATACCAGGATGCACAGTGACCTGAGTTTGGCTCTTGGAACCCATGTTCCATTTTTGAAAGCAAACACTCATGTCTGGACAGATGAATGAGTCTAATAATTTGGTAAGATTCGGTAGGAATAGAGTTTCTTTGAGAGTGCTGAAGCTCAGCCTAAAGGGTATTAATTTTGTTAGCATAGGATATTAGTGAGAGACAGTAGACAGCGAAAAGCATGTCAATGGCCAGAGATTATTTATAGAGAAGATACAAATTTTAACTTAAATTCCTTGAGATTGGGGGTGGGGGAAGGGTGTGAAGCAACTTTTGTTTGATTTTGTAAATCCTATTCAGTCAGGTAGTGCCTGAGTAACTTATTTTTTTAAAATTTTTTTTAATTAGAAGATTATTTTACATGTCAATCCCAGGTCCCTCTCCTCCCCCCCCTTCCCTGCCCCCCCCCCACTGACACCCTACCTATCCCATACCCTTTCTGCTCCCCAGGGAGGATGAGGCCTTCCTTAGAGGGTCTTCAAAGTCTTGTCATATCCTTTGGGTTAGGGCCTAGGCCAACCCCCTTGTGTCTAGGCACAGGGAGTATCCCTCCATGTGGCTCCCTGTAGGGGAAGCTGTAGCCACACCTACTTAGGGGCTGGCTACAGATGTGCCTGACCACGCCCTCACAAGCTTGCGAGGGCGTGGTCAGGGGACGTAGGGTGACTCAGAGAACTATTTCTCTTTTTTTCCTAATCCCTATTCAATTAAACCAATGCTGGATTTAGAGGTGGATTTGGCTTTCCTCCTCTAAAATCCAAGCACGTTATTTTACTAAACTTTAATGTTTCTATGTTGTATCAAGAAGCCAATTAATATAATACAGAATAAAAGAAGAATTTGGGGACTGTCTTTGTCTTTTCTTGGATCTTTCTCTCAAGGTGTACACCCTCTCATAATTGTTATGCTCTCATGGTTGCATTCCCCAGCATGTGTACATACAAAAACAAACATTTCTGTGCTAACTGTTTATGTTTGAGTCCCACACAGCCAATGAAGACCTGCCTGACAGCAATCCCTGGATACCCTAAAAAGAAAATGGGCCACACCTCCTCGACTGCACTAGATCCAACTTGCTCCATTTCAACTGACATTCCGGCCAGAGGTTCCGGTACTGACTTCAATCAAGTTGAGGATTTCAAGCGAGATCTTCTATCAAGAGAATCCCATCTAACATGGACTGGATACAATTCATTCAAGACTTTCACAATACTAACATTTTCTTCCTACAGGACCCCACATGACTGTCATCGTCCCATTTCAGCAGGAATGCTACGCCCCCTTTCCCCATTGTTGTCACTTAGGATAGTGTATATACCTAGTTAGGGATAGCTTCCTATTGTTTTGGTTGGGATTGGAATGAGGTGTTCAGGTTTGGATACCTCTCTCAGATGACTTTAGGGTTTAGTTAACATAGATAGTTAGGATGTGACATAAACAGATTATTGTATCTTCTTATAGTTTACCTTTATGATTGTTAATTTTGGATACTTTACACTGTTAAGTTTTAATCCTCTTTTAGACTAAAAGGGGAATTGTAGGGGAAGCTGTAGCCACGCCTACAAGCTTGCGAGGGCGTGGTCAGGGGACGTAGGGTGACTGCATTTTCGCTTTCATTTTCTCTTTTGGGCTTGCGTACAGACTGCTGCCACGCCGGCTGGCTAGGTCGCTCTGTAAGTAGGACTTTTCCCTATTAAATACCCTTATATGTCTACCTGACTCCGTATTGGTAATTTCCCACAATAGCTCCCAAAGTCCATTCCTATGCTAGGGATACGTACTGAAATACTACAAGGGGCCCCATAGATTTCCGAAGTCTCCTCACTGACATCCACATTCAGGGGGTCTGGATCAGTCCCAAGCTGGTTTCCCAGCTATCAGTCTGGGGACCAAGAGCTCCCCTTGTTCAGGTCAGCTGTTTCTGTGGGTTTCACCAGCCTTGTATGGACCCCTTTGCCCATCAGTCCTCCGTATCTGCAACTGGATTTCAGTTCAGTTCAGTGTTTAGCTGTGGGTGTCAGCTTCTACTTCCACCAGCTGCTGGGTGAAGGCTCTAGGATGGCATATAAGTCAGTCATCAATCTCATTATCAGGGGAGGGCATTTAAGGTAGCCTCTCCTCTGTTGCTTAGATTGTTAGCTGGTGTCATCTTTGTAGCTCCCCAGACATTTCCCTAGTGCCTGATTTATCTTTAAAACTATAATGTCTGAGAAACTTCTTAAATATCATCTTTTATGTATTTTGGAGGGGATAGGGTCAGGAAATGAAAGGTCTCAACTTGTCATAGAGCTGTCTTCAGCCTGTTCCAGCCTGTTTGTTCATCCTTCCAGTCTCCTTCCTCTCAGCTGTACATAATTACTCAGTCATGCTGCAATCCTACTTTTTTTTTTTTTTTTTCGATACAGGGTTTCTCTGTGTAGCTTTGGAGCCTATCCTGGCACTCGCTCTGGAGACCAGGCTGGCCTCAAACTCACAGAAATCTGCCTACCTCTGCCTCCCGAGCAATCCTGCTCTTTTAGCTGGGCATATTTCTGTGGAATTTTGTAAACTTAGCCCATGTTGTATATGAGGCATACTGCAACTGTGCCCTTCATTATTCAAATGACTTCAATCTGTAAAACTATTCTTTTGGGGAGACTGGAGAAATCAAAGTGTCAAAAAGACCTCAGATGAAGGTATACTCTAAAGTTACCATGGTAACAACAGTGTGAAGTATTTTTCAACAAGGTATATATAATGGACTGTTGTTTTGTGAATGTGAATGCCACTTTAAACCCCAAGTCAAAGCTGATTGCCTGGAGTTGGTTTTGTTTTTAGACAGGTTGATTAACCTGTCTAATATGTTCTAATATGTTCATTTTTACTTGATATGTGATGTGATTTGTAACTGCAGCACTTGTTGTCCCAAGCACCTTTGGGCAAGTAATACTTAACCTAAGTCTGTTACCCAGCCTTTTGCTAGACACACACACACACACACACACACAATGAACTGTTTTGGAAGCAAATGCTTCTTTTTAAAAATAACACTTTTAATTTATTCTTTAAAAATTATATATTTTGATCATATCTATACACCATTATCTCCCTCTAACACCCCCAGTACCCTCTCACCCAACTTTGTGACCTCTCTTTATGTTGTTGTTTATTAATAACTCCCTGGTCTAATTAGTGCTTCCCCTGACAGCTTGGACATGGGGGCCAACCACTGGAGCATTGACAATTTACTATTGGCCAGGTCACCAAAGGAGGGTGACTCTCCTACAGCAGCCAGCCATCAACTGCTGGTAGCTCTTTCACCAAGGGTGGGATCTCAGGGGTCCTTCCTCATTCATGCTAGTATTTTGGTGAATATTCACTTCCGAGTAACACAGCACATTGCTTCTCCCTTTTCTAAAATGCCCTTTGTATCACTTACGCTTAAAGAATGGTCATACAGAATAATCCATCCTTCTGTTCCTTCATAGAAATTTGTATAAAAGTTAATAATTTTCATTCCACATACACATGTTCTTACCTGTGGGCTACAAGGCCATCAAATACTGGAAATGTCTTGCATTTGAAAAGGTTTTCTGAGTCTAAGCACAGCAGTGTTTCCCAGATGCCTTGGTTCTCAGCAGGTTTCATTCCTTGGAGTAGGCCAACAAAAACAATAATTTTCACCAGTATTTGTTAAAGTTAAGAGTTTTCCTGTGATTGCAATCACTAACAGATATTTAAGGTTTAAAAAGTTTTTCATGCTGGGCGGTGGTGGCACTCGCCTTTGATCCCAGCACTCTGGAGGCAGAGGCAGTTGGATTTCTGTGAGTTCTTGGCCAGTCTGGTCTACATACAGAGCAAGTTCCAGGACAGGCTCCAAAACTACACAGAGAAACCCTGTCTCAAAAAACCATTTTTTTTTTATTTTTATTTTTCCTTCTGACAAGCTTTCAAGTTTCTTACAACATTACTAATATTTAAAGTTATTACTATGTACATACAGCTTTTAGAAGGGCTGGAAATGTTTATTTGAGGCTGTCATATAATTGATAAACTCTTCTATGCCATGAAAACATGGACCCTGACACAATTGGTTAACGATGCTATGAGACATGTGCTTTAGATCTTAAGTAATTTTTTCTTTCAAAAACTGCACCAGAATATGTAAAACAAAATCATAATTTTTAAAAATAGTAGTTTAAGAAAATCCCACAGGAATCTTCGGCTAACTTTGTTGCTTTCTACAAACTTTACTAGTATAGATTTTTTTTCTGGTTCCATTTGGTGTAGGACACCATTTGTAGACAGAGTTCTTCATGTTCATATAGGTGAATACTCTATGAATGCTATTTATGTTGAACTATTTTGTCCCAAGAATATGCTGTTATTACCTCAGGGCAGGATGGGAAGGTAACTAAGAAAAACTGTTTCAACAGAAGTAGTCAACTGTAACAAACTTGCCTGCATTTGTTCTAAGGCACTAGGATATCGAAACACCTCAGTGTCCACAGAACCCATCAAAACAACCCCTTAGAATTCTTGGCAGATACTTTCTCCCTACTATCTTGCTCATTGTAGTTTTTCCATACTAATTCTAAAAAAATTGTACGTCTGCCTTTTTCTGTCTTGGTGAATTTTTTTCACTGGAATGTCACTACTATTTCAGATGACATAAACTTCATATTTTATAGAAAGCTTGGCATTATTTTTTAATGTAACTTATATTGTACACCTAGTATTTTTCAGGCAGTATTTTAAGCCACATTGAATGGATGCAATGGGTTGATTTGTCAATTTAATTCTGTTAACAGCTTCACCATGGTGTTCCCTTTGCTATTCCTTCACTGAGCAAAAGGAAGAAGACTAAGTGGTTACAAAGGATTTTCTTCTTTCCAGGGAAACGAGCACTTCAGGCTTATAGGTCTTTGTCCTAGGAAAACATAGAGAACATGTAAATTTGACCGATAGAGTCATAGCTTTTGGAGGAAAGACACTTGTGAAACACACTGCAAATGTCCAGCTTGTTAAGGGGGCGGGGCTTCATAAGGCGCTTAGGTAGCTAGATTAGAATCCCATCTGTCCTAATTAACTTACTTCCCTGCTTCCCTAGTGTCCCTACTGAGTCAGAAAAGAAGCCAGAGCTGTTCTGAAAGGACAGGGTTTGTTTTTGTTTTGTTGTTGTTTTTCATTTTCTCCAATTGACAATGATTTTAGAATTTTTGTGTACTCCCAGACATGAACTTTTAGCTTCGAGGCCTTTTTTGGTGAAAGTTTGTTAGTGGGAATTTCAAAACGCCGATGCTCGCTTGAGAATTTTGTCATCCCATTTCTTTGGTTTTGGGCCAAATGATTATGTTTCTTCTTTTAGGGAAGATTTCTCTGGGTATTTTGATATTTTTCCTGACAGGAGGGAACCTCGTATCATTCTCAGGTAATTCAAAACTGATACTTGTTTTCAGCTTTCTGGGGACCTTAAATATATAGTGTTAAGACAGTAATATTTGACATGACTGCTGTTAGACGATATGACTGTTAATCTTCGTTTTTGCTTTATATCTAACATGATCTGGGTTTCCCTTCCTCATTAATAATAATTCCCAGTTCAAACCTTCCACCTCTGTGTTGAAATTCGGTGTATATTTAATTTTAAAAACAATCTTGTATTAAAGGATTACTAATAAAACGGGGAAAAGCTTGAATACTTCTTCCTTCTGTGTGCATTCCTGTGCATTGAGCATTGTCTTAAATTGAAATGTGCAAATGGCAGCCTGTCTCTATTTGCTACCTTTTGTATGGCGCCTCCATCCCCCGAAGCCCCTGGTTATGCTCCCATTCGGTTCGCGGCAGTAACGGACCATGTTTTCTGCAGAAGAGATGCAAGACCCCATGCGTGCAGTCTCCGCTCTCCTGCCTGAGAAGACCACAGATCCTTCCCTGACTATCAGAAAGAGACAGCTTTTGGCGCCCACAGAGGCTGACAGCAGGTGGCTGCGCAGAAAGCGGAGATCTATTCTGTTCCCAAATGGAGTCAAAATTTGCCCCAATGAAAGCATTACGGAGGCTGTGGCTAGCCACGTAAAGTATTTTAAAGCCCGAGGTAAGCAGATGTCCAAACCCTTTATGAAACTCAAACCGTCACATTTTTTTTTTTTTTTTGTGCGCTGTTAGAGTAAACGTGTGATAATTTAGGTAGAAATGAACCAAATATTAGTGAGAAAAGGACTTAATCACAATAATATTAATTAAGAGAGAAATGTACATTATTGTAAAAGAAAATATCTAATTTTTTGGAGCATTTAAAAATACTATTACTGGGTATATTAATATAATAATATATTAAATAATTTTTTATTATGGTAATTTGCCTATATATACCCACAACACATATTTAGACCGTGCTTTCCTACTTATTGTATAGATGAAAATATAGTGAGTTTCTTGATTGTGTACTTTGGACGTGCCATAGATTCATTTTGTTGCCTGATTAGGACACAAAAATTTTTATGTTAAAAATGACCCTTCTCTCAGTGGTCTAACCTGGCTTTTGTCTTTTTTTTCTTCCTTTTATTATTTGAATTAGAATTGTCTTATTTTTGATTAGGCAATATGATCCTTGGATTCATATATTCTATTATGTGAATCCACACTATGTTTCATACATTTATTAACATTGCTTAATTGAGCCTCATCCACACACCTTCAACATTTGAAGGATTTTCAGATTTTGCTTTCTATATGTTCAACAGCCAATAAAAAGAGCCATTATATGAATGTGATGTTGTTTGTCCTATTAAATATCAATTCATTTGTTCAACAAATGTTGATTGAGCACACACTATTTTCCCTGGCACTAGGTTGTATGATTGTCTTTCTCATCTGCTACTTAATTATCTTAATTTTTTGTTCCTTGCCATTCTCTTGTACACTAGAGTTTTTAAAAATAAAAATTTAATATCAGGTAATATTATTTCAAATATGTAATGTTTTATGTTAATATAAAATGGCACAGTGTATTAGTTCCCTTGGTATAGTTCTTTTATGAATATATTACAGTCTTGATTGTATTTGAGGGCTGTCAAATATTACTCAGGAATAGGCTCTTCTTTTACTTTTCTTTTTTCCTCCTTGAGACAGAGTTTTTCTGTGTAACAGCCCTGGCTGTTCTGGAACTCACTTTGTAGACTATACTGGCTTCCAACTCAGAGATCTGCCTGTCTGTCTTGAAACTGCTGGGGGTAAGGGCGTGTGCCACCATCCCTGATCTGGCTCTTCTTTTATTTTTTAAAAAGGGATCGTAGACCTAGAAGTTTTATGCAGGACCCTAGGTTGGCAGTGAAATTGCAAAGTGACTGAGGATGTGACATATATATGGCAGTGGGTAATGTATCAAGATGATTTACACTGCCTGGATTTTAACTTTAAATGGATCAGAATATCCAGCTGTCTTGTCTATGCATTCCACAGTAAAGAGGAAGGGCCAACCATTAAGGAATCTGTTTCTACTTTGTGATTGTTTTGCTTTTATTTTTGTAAAGTCAAGAGATAATGCTCAAAAAAGAAGCCAACAAAAGGAAGAATAAAGTATCCTTGAAATAATTAAAAAATACAGGTGAATTGGGTTATTGAAAAGGAACCCTGAAAATATACACACAAGTAACATGCATATTAAACAATTGTACTTATGTATTTAGGAATATACACATACCTATCTATCTGCATGTGTGAAACAATAATTAATGGGTGAAGAAGGCATGAATTTGAAAGAGAGCAAGGAACGGGTATATGAGAGTGTTTGGAGGGAGGAAAAGAAAGAAAGGGGAGATGATGTAATTATATTGCATTCTCAAAAAATAAAAGAAGTAATTAAAAACTTAGAAAGAAGAGGGAGCTCAGAAAAGCAAATGGTTGACACAGCCATCATAACATGTTTGTAATTATGATCATGGGAGAAAATAATATTTTACCTCTTATGCTTTTTGAAAACCAGGGAAGGGTTAGAGTTATGACCCTTGATATGGCCCAGTGGTTAAGAGCCCCGACTGCTCTTCCAAGGGACCAGATTTTGATTTCCAGCACTACATGGTGGTTCATAACCAATTGTTAACTCCATGCCCAGGAGACCTGGTGCCCTCTTCTAGTCTCTCTGAGGACACAGAAGGTAAATAGACTTCCGTGCTGGGATCTGATCTGGTTTGGGCCTGCACAGGACTTATGCATGCTGCCATAACCACTGTGAGTTCAGATGTGCATCTCCCTGTAGTCATTTTACCACCTCCGGCTTTCTACCCCTTTCCTGTAATGATCCCTGAACCTAGGGTTTGCAATACATCTGTTCCTTCAGGCTAAGCAATCATTGCTGGCATTGCCATTACTCCTGGTCACCCTCCAAAACTCAATGGTAATACCTATTACTGAAGACACCACACGACTGAGTCATAGAACATGGCAGAATCAAGCTGGTACTGACCTCGATGCTTATCACCTACTATCCAACTTTCATAGTGCTGGATGGTGCTATGCACACTATCAGAAGAAACAAGGAACCGTCAATTGTAGTAATCACCCTATGACAGACTTTCCTACACTCTCCTGCTGTGTGAACTCTGTTCCCAGAGAACTGTTTACTTCCCTTGGAGGAATGCCTCTGCCTGTCCAAGAATGCTACAAGCAAGACGTTTCCTCCCCTTCCTCATCACTTTAGCATGCTCAAAAGCCTCAGGCAAACAGTCCCCACCCAGCCATGAGACGTTCTGTGTCTGAGCACATCTGTGATAGTGATGAGAACTAGTCTGTATAATGGTCACTGTTTCTTAGTTCCGGCTTTGAACTTCAAGCTATCTGGAATAAATGCTCATAAAGGCACACTTGTGCAGCAGCATCTGGAGTCCCCTGGCTCTGTGGAATCCTGAATTCTATTGCAATCCTTGGCAGTGGTCACTGGAGGGTTGTGATAAATTTTACCTAGCTGAAAACCCTGTAAGCTACAACAATAACTGTCCTGTCAAGACATGCCCACTGGTGCAATAGTGGCATGAGCCATGCGGGTGCTGGAACTGTTCTTCTGCAAGAGCAGCCAGTGTTCTTAACTGTCTCTAGCCTTCTAAATATAATTTTTATTTATAGTTTTAATGTGTTTCTAAAATTAATATGTTTTTTCAAGTAGTTGTATGTTTGGAGAAAAATCCATCAGGATGTCTATAAAGTTAGCACAAGTTCCTTGAACTCCCTAGCATTAACATGTGATATTAATACAGTACACTTGCTACAATTCATATGCCAACATAGGTGCGTTACTAATGAGTTCATGGTTTACATTAGAGTTCACTTCAGTGTGTATCCATTTGGCTTTGGGGAATGTATCATAATGTTTACCAACTATTACAGCTTTATTCAGAACAATTCCCCCTATCCATCCCCCTCCTTCCCAACCCCTGAGAAACACTCATCTTTTTACAGATTGATTTTGTTGATTTGATAATATGCACATAAGTTGGCAGTGTGCATAGTTTTAATGCTTTGAAAGCTCATTTTGAAATAATTGAGTCATATTCCACTGTGTGGATTTGCTAGTTTATTTTCCATTCATTTATTGAAGGCCATCTTCATTCCCTCCAGGCTTTGGCAAGTTTAAATAAAGCCATCTCAAACATTTTGTGTAAATTCTTGCACAATCATACATTTTTTTCTTTGCTTATGTGGATGCCACCGAGTGCAACTGAACTGGCCTTGTTTTCTTTTTCTGTATAAAAATGAATGTGTGTTATCTCCTGTTTTCAGGTGTGAGCTGTAGTTGCTGCAGAGTGACAAATCAAAGGGAACATTATCTCCCTGGTTACAGAGTGCCCTCAAATTAGAAGTCTTGAGGAGCTCCAAATGCTCCTACTTATTTATTTCTTTATTTGTTTTTTTGAGACAGGGTTTCTCTGTAGTTTTGGATCCTGGCCTGGAACTCTCTCTGTAGACCAGGCTGGCCTTGAACTCACAGAGATCTGCCCTACTCTGCCCACTGGATTGCTGGGTTCAAAGGTGTGCACTACCACCCTTCTCAAATGTGCCTTTTTAAATTCAACGTTGGACTCGTTTTCCAAAGAGTAGATCCCATTCATTTGCATTTCTGCATTTTGCTCCAAAAACCTCCTGGCTCTTTTAAAATGTCATTCTCTCTCATTTATTTTTTTAGAAAATCTTTTATTTATTCTTTGAGGACTTCATAAAATGTACTTTGACCATATTATTTCTCCTCCTCAGCTCTTCCTAGATCCTCCCTCACCTCCCTACTTGCACAATTTCATATTCTCTCTCTCTTAAAAAAAAAAAAGACCAAACAACCCTTAAGTTCCCTATTCCTGGCCATGATGCCTGTCGTGGAACATGGCTGGTATACCAGATGTCTCTCTATTGATGAAAACTGACTACCCTCTCACAGCAGCAATAGAATGCCAATGACTCTGCAGCTAGAAGTGGGGCTTTGTTCCCATCTCCATCTCTATGCTGGGGTTTTGACTGGCTTGTGCAGGTCTTGTGCACGTTGTTATAGCCTGTGAGTTTGTATGTGCATCTATCGTGTTTGTATGACATCTATCGAAGTCATCCACCTCTCCTGGCTCTCAGAATTTTTCTGTCCCCTCTTCTGCATAGATCCTCTCACCTTGAGGGAGGAATGCCATGGAGCCATTCCTTATGGCTCAGTGTTTCAATGTCTCTTCTTCTGTGGGTCTGTATTAATTATTATTTATATTGAGAAGAAGCTCCTCTGATGAGGGATGATCTATGGGCACAGAATTAAGTCAATAGGAGTCATTTTACTGCTGTGTCCAAAAGTATCATTATCTTTTTAAAAAGCTGAGAAATTGTCTTTCGAAGTTATGACTCCAGAAAAAAAATAAAAAAACTTGAGATTATGGTGTCTATTAATAAAACAGATTTAAGCTGGGTGTTGGTGGCACACACCTTTAATCCCAGCACTCAGGAGGCAGAGGCAGGCAGATCTCTGTGAGTTCGCGGCCAGCCTGGTCTCCAGAGCGAGTGCCAGGATAGGCTCCAAAGCTACACAGACTCCAAAGCTACACAGAGAACCCCTGTCTCAAAAAAACAAACAAACAAACAAACAAACAAACCCCCAGATTCAACACAATGTAGTAAACATAAGTTCTATTTTCATGAAATATAAGCATGGAATTAAAAAAAATCAACAAGGAACAAATTCACTAAGAGGTGAGTTAATGCCTATTATAAATGAGTAGTCAGGTAGTACAGTGCTTTTTTCAGAACTGAAAAGTTTGAATAGGATGTTTTTAACTGAATGCCATTCTCATGACCCTCCAGAAAGGAGGTATGGCCAAAAGTGTCCAGAGGAATGGGAGTGAGTTGTTCCATGATCATCAAGAGCATGTTATCTGTTTCTGAACACATTTCTCTCTACTTTCCAGTGTGCCAGGAAGCCACCTGGGAAGCCTTCAGGACGTTTTGGGATCGACTTCCTGGGCGTGACGAATACCGTTACTGGATGGACTTATGTGAGGATGGAATTACAAGCGTATTTGAAATGGGCACACATTTCAGTCAGTCTATGGAACATAGAAGCTTAATCATGAAGGTGGGTGTGGCAAGTAGAGAAGGAGACATTACGTTGTTGTGGGTGTAGTTATACATGGCTAAAGGCTAAAGGAAGAGAAAGTAAATTGAAGGTTTCTGAGGGAGCTGCCCTAGGGAATGGCTGACTCTTCTATCCCTAGCTCCAGCCTTTCATAATGAATATTGTTACTCCAGAAATAGCCTCAGCCTCGTTAATAGATGTAAATGGATCAAATAATATTATGCAAAATATTAAAGATAAGGATCTGTGTGAGTTAAACATGATTGCCAAATTCATTCATATATTAATTCAGAATGTATTGTAGTCATTCTAAATAAGTTAGAAGATAAAGGCCATTTAGCACATTTAGTGAAGTATAAATGTGATTTTAGTTCAAGATTTGTTTTTATTTGGGGTGTGTGTGTGCATGCATATAGAGGGCAGAGTTGAACTTCATGGAAAATTTTCTCCTTTTACCTTGTTCTTTTTTGCCTCTGTGAAAAATCTGTGAACTTCCAGCTGATTCTTCTGTCTCCCATCCCTCCTTAGGAGTGTCGGGGTCACAGGTGCATACCTCTGTGTGTGGCTTTCAAACCTGAGTTCTGTATTAGTCAGAGTTCCTTAAAGGAACAGAACTGCTAGAATGGATCTAGATATTAGGAGAGGATTTAGTAGAGTGGCTTCCAGGCTGTGGTCTGGCTAGTCCAGCAGTGGTTGTGCCCCATCAGAAAGTCCAAGAATCCCATAGTTGTTCAGTCCACTAGGCTGGATGTGTCAGCTGGTTGGTCTCTATGTTATGATAAAGCGTGAGAGGAAACTTGGTGGATTCCATGGCATGTGAGGGTGACCGAGATGGGGGACAAACATGCCAGGCAGACAGAGCTTAGTGAGTTTTATTAGAAAGAGAAGGGGGGGAGGGGGTGGGGGGGAAGAGATTGGGAAAAGAGAGTGGGAAAGAGAGTAAGTGGGTGGGGGTCTTCCTTTTAAAAGGGTCCTTTGCACCTGCATGCTGACCAGGGTACTGCCTGGGTGCATTCTGCCAGGTGACAGGGGCAGGTCAGCATAATGCCTGAATCCTTACACTCTATGTTGGAATCCCAAACAAATAGTTTCTAAAACCAGTGAAAGAATGCTTCAGCAGCAGGATAGATGAACTTGCCACAAGCAAGAGTGAGGCAAAACAGGCAAAAAAACAAGAGCTTCCTTCTTCCATGTCCTTTTATATGAGCTTTCACCAGAGGGTGCGTCCCAGATTTAGGGTGGATTTTCTGACTTCAAATGATCAGGATTTAAGGTTGGTCTTCCCACCTGGAGTTTTTCTGATTAAGAAAAATCTTTCACAGGTTCGCCCAGCTGCTTGCGTTTTAATTAATTCTAGATATAGCCAACTTGATAACCAAGATTAGCTATCATAGGTTCCAAGGATCAAAATCAGGTCATCAGGCTTGCATGACAAATGCTGTTGAGCTACCTTGCCAGCCATATTTGCAATTTTTTACTATCAAGATATAGAAAATATATAATAGATATTTGTTGAAATAAAATTATAAAGATAATAGCCACATGTCTTTTTTCTACTCCCTGCAATATATAAAGTTTAAGAATATCATTTTCTTTTGTTTTTTTAATGTGGGAAGTTTTATTGGGGGAAGGGAAGGGAGAGAGGGGAAAGAGAGAGAGAGGGGGGGGAGGGAGACAGGCAAAGACCTGCCTACCTCTTCAGAGGAACATTGGGAAATAGTATGAATCTCTCCCTCCCTCCCTCCCTCCGTCCCTCCCTCCCTCCCTCCCTCCCTCCCTCGCTCTCCCTGGCTTTTTGAGTCAGGGTTTCTTTATGTAGAGCCCTATCTGTCCTGGAACTGGTTCTATAGACCAAACTGGGTTCGAACTCACAGAGATCCACTTGCCTCTACCTCCCAAGTGCAGGGATTAAAAGCACAAGCCACCACTGCCCATGAATATCATTTTCAAGTACTGACTGCAAGTATTATTTTCTGAAAATAATTGTTGAATGAATATCTAGAGTCAGTTGTTTAAGTAGGTCTGAAAAGTAGTTATTAAATGAATAGCTCTGAATTATTTTTAGTTGATTCTTATAAGATAGTGTATCTAAAAGAACTGAAATGTATCATCACATTTTTTCATATTTAAACTTTTATTTCCAGTAAAGAAGACATAATATTTTCTTTTAACATTTGGCCCTATAACAGTGATCTCATTAAGTGGGAGAAAGTTAGGTAGAGGAATAGTTTACTAAACTTGGGTGGACCGAAGACAGGTTTTATAGGGCTATAAACATTTTGAAGATGTGCAGTTTTTTGTGTGTTTAAAATGGACTCATCTCTTTACCATGATGGGTAACAGTTCAAGTCAAGACTCAGCATCAGCCTTTTCTCTGTCAGATTTTTTTCTTTAATTATTTTTTTTAAATTTATTTATTAGTTCTAGTTAGGGAACAAGCTTGTTTCACATGTAAGCCCCTTCTCCCTTTCCCTCCCCTCACTCCAATCCCCCCTCCCCCACCCCTAACCTACCCCCCACCCCGTCCACCCACCACTCCCCAGGCAGGGTAGGGCCCTCAACAGGGGCTCTGCAAAGTCCACCAAATCTTCCTGTGCTGGTCCTGGGCCCTTCCCCATGTGTCCAGGACCAGAGTGTATCCCTTCAGGTGGGATGGGCTCTCAAAGTCCCTTCTTGCACCAGGGAAAATACTAATCCACCACCAGAGGCTCCCTGGAGTGCAGAGGCCTCCTTATTTTTAACTGCTCCATTTTAGCAATTATGAAAATATATACAATATCATCCATGCCTACCATATCTTAAATCTAATAAACAGCAACCTTACAAGGTATTCTCCATTTTGTAAATAAAGACAATAAATAGATTGCTTACCCTTTGTTACAAAATCAATTGTGATGGATCTTAAGATCCAGAGCCAGTTGTTTTTTTTTGCAAAATTTATATTTTTGGATATGTATATTACTCAGCAGCACAGAGTTTGGTAGCATGTGCAAGGCCCTAGAGTTGATCAGCAGTATTGCAGAAACAAACAAAACTCTCAAAGCACATTTTCCTCCTGTGTTATGGAGCTTCTATTCCAGTCATTGTTGGTTTCAGAAATTTCTACAATGAAAAGAATCATGTATTAATCATGTATTCATATTTATATCAGCATTGTATATTTCAAATTGTGTCCACAATGTTGGATCACCTATTAAAGCAAGAAATATATACAAGGAGTTATTAACTTAGTAACAGAGTTTTGTGATGTGAAGATACATTAAAATATGTATCTTACAAGTTTTAACTTGGAAATAAGGAAATAAGCTTTAATGGTTATATACAAGCCATAGATTAAATGGGTGAGGCTTTGTCTGGCTTGAGTCTAAAGTGATAAATGTGAGTTGGTGGAGAAGGAGTGGATGGACAAGGCAGAAGGAGAGAACAACATGAACAGTGTTTGTAGGGGATGGCTTGGACCAATTTGCTAAGAGACAGCTTGAAATGACAGGTCAGACAGGAGAAGGTGAGAGTGTTAAGAGGCTTGAATTTAGCTCTGTGGATGATGGAAAACTTCAGGGTTGTAAGGGGATAGGACAAAGGAGCTGGCTTAAAAGCTTTGACTTAAAAATTCACATTTATTTATTTATTGTGAGAGTGAGAGCACAAGAGAGGAAAAGAGAGATGGAGAGAATACTATGGCATTTTTGTAGGAGTCAGTTCTCTCCTTCCATATGTGGGCTCCTGGGATTGAACTCAATCATCAGGCTTGGCAGGAGGTCCCCTTACCTGCTGAACCATCTCCTTGGCCCAGTTTTGAATTCTTAAAGGTCATGTGGCTGTACACACATAAGAAGGGTTACAGAGAGTCAATTGACAGAGAGACCAGGTAGGAAGCCACAGAGGCTCCTAACCAAACCATGGGACAGAGAAAGAGAACATGATGGACAAAAGTAAGAAATAGGATTTTTGGGGGCACTTGTAGTTGGCATTTTCTTTGGGACACCAACCAACTCCCAAATAAAGACATGAAGACTTATTGTTAACTGTGAATGCTTGGGCTTAGTTTAGGCTTGTCTCACTAGCTTTTTAACTTAATATAACCTGTTTCTGTTCATCTATGTTTTGTCTTGGGGCTTTTTACCTTTCTTTTGTTCTGTATGTCCTACTTTCCTGTTTCTCCTTGTCTGTCTCTCTGGCCCCTGGCATCTTCCTGGTGTTTCTTTCTCTCTCCTTGCTCCCAGCCTAAATTCCTCCTCCTACTTATTCTCCCTGCCCAGAAGTCCTGCTTATTCCTCCTCCTCAATATTGGCTGTTCATCTTTTTATTAGACCAATCAGGTGCCTTAGGCAGGTAAGGTGAAACAGCAGCACATCTTTACATAATTAAGCAAATGCAACATATCTTTACATAGTTAAACAGTCTGCATCATAAACAAATGTAACACATCTTTACATAGTTAAACAAATATTCCACAACAGGCTCTGGCAGATTGGATGGGAACAGCATAGGATAATAGTGTCGAACACCTCCTGGTTCCTAGTGGGAGTTCACAAGATCAGGGACTCAGACAGGAAAGCCACTGTGCTCTTTGCAGATGAGGCAAGAAGGGTGAATTCAGTTTTGAAACATTCATTTTACCTGCTCATGAGAAATGTGAATTGTTTGATATTTTCATGTGAAACAAAGTAGGGTGGTCTGGGCTTTTATTTATAGAAATATTCACCAGCTTTGAGGTAGTAACTGAAAGCCTGAAGATGACAGACTATCTTGGGAGAGACCATAGAGGAAGAAAAACAGCACATTATTTAATGATATCTCAGAGTGATTTAGATAATTTTCTTTCCATTTAACAGCTGAGAAAACTGATCCCTGGCATCAGAAAGGACATGGGGTTTGTGTTTGTAACTAGGGAGGAGAAATGGGGACTTGAAACTAGACCTTCTGAGTCCAATTCTGTATTTTGTACATCCTTTTGTTTGTTTGTTTTGAAATGAGGGCACAGGAACATCAGGGCACAGAAGAGACATACTTGGATACTCCCAAGGTTATAGAATAAACTTGCCGTTGTTAGCACCTGCTTTCATTATTTTCTTGTACTTAGAGAATAGTGGCTTAGCTTTTGCCATGTTAGTGCATTGGTGCCCTCTGTGGAGTAAATCTTAGGCACCGTGTAATCACTGTTATTAACTCAGTTATTGTGTCTTTGTTTTCTTCAGAAACTGACTTACACACAGGAAGCTGCAAGCAGGTATGTCTTCTCTCCAAATTCAATTTGGCAAAATAGGTGTGTCATAGCTACACCAAAACTAACCTAGTGTTCTTTTTCTATTTCATTTCAGCTTCTGCAGGGACCAGGCCTGTGGGTAAGTCCCCAAAGCTGTTCCCCTTGAGGCCACCTCTCTTCCCAGGACACCACCATAGCCACTGTGCTTACTCGCTGTCTTACCTTACCAGAAGCTGGTCCATTTCTTTCCTGGATAATTCCATGGAAGTCTGCCCTATAGAGAATGACTTGCTGTTACTGAGGTTAAGGCTAACAAAAGCCAAGGTTTATCTTACAGAGGGTTAGTTTGTTAAGTGATAATAGTTGTTTGGATTATTTTCTTGACTTCATGGTTATGGTCTTAAAAAATAGTACACCCCCCAAAAAAATAGCACACCCTAGATTTATCTGTCAGTATGCTTCTTGGCTGGCCATTAGGCACAGACTAAGCAGTAGTAATATAAAGCAGACTTCAAAAAGTAAGGAATAGTGACTAAAGTTTGAATTCTACCCATCTTCAGAATATCAAGAGTGTACCAACATGTGGGAAACTACATAGGAAATCACCAATATATTAAAAAATTAACTAAACAATCCAGTATCCAGATATCCAGCTTTCCAGACAAAGTCAAGACACAGTTGGAGTATACTCACAAGAGCTTTTGAATAAAACACAAACAGGCAGGAAGACAGTGAACTCTGTGGCCTTGCTCATTCATATGTCTCCTGACACCATTGAGTCTGTGTTAAGATTTGAGATTGTGCATCTGCTCTGATGTGGGGTCATAGAGTCTTTTGGGGTTGCCTACAGAGTTCAGAAGTTCTTTGTGATTGACTTTATGGTTATGGATGAGTTGCAGCAGTGATGAGTACGCTGGCTGGTCCTACCAGTCCTAATGATGAGCAGTGGTATCTGGAGGGAGCCGTGTGGTTGGGTAATGGGCACAGATTTGAGTAAGGGCTCAGAATGATGGTGAACACGGAGGGACTAGGCTAGTTCTGAACTCTGCAGCCCAGCTATTTCAGTGTTCTCTGAGATGCTTACTCCTTCTTATGGGTCTACAAATCTGCTAAGCAGTGCAAGGCAGGGGTAACAGGAGGAGGTGGAGCAGGGGTCCTCTGTGTTGATCCTCGAGAATCTGTTTTGATGATGAAGTGTCCCACACTGTGCTGGTCAAGGGCAGAATTTGGCTGATGTTCACCCATTGTCTGAGAATTTGTTGCACTGGTTGATTGGTTCCTAGTTCTCAGCAAACAGAAGACCTTGTTCATTGAGGAGGCTTTAAGCTGATAGCCATGTTGGTGTAATAGCTTTGAAATGTGATCTGCATGTGAGAATTTGAGAAGAACTATAGGTTGTTTTGATGAGCAGCTAATGTTGAAATGAGTGGCTCTCAGCATTGTGCGTGTGTGTGCATGTGTGCATGTGTATACATTCGTGTGTCTGTGTGTGCACATGCGTGTATGCATGTGTTTCTAGTGAGCAAATAGATTTTTTTTTAAAATGTAACACACGCAAGTACAAAGCATCATTCATCTTCCAGAACAAAGGTTGCCGTGTGTCTAGAGACTATCCAAAAGACTTCCATAGGCTGGCATGTTTATTGTAAATGTAAAGACCATCAGTGTACAGATATTAACATGGAACATTGTCTCACATTCTTCTTAATTTTAATTTAAAAATTTATTCATTGAGAGTTTCATCCTGGATATGTTATGTTTTAATCATACCCACTCTCCTTCCTCTATAACTCCTTGTCTAATGTCCTAAGAGGTGGGCCAACTTTCAGCTGATTACAGATTTGGATTTTCTATGTGTATGTGAAAGATTGCCCTAAGAAAATATTGTCTCTATATTTTCGTGGAGAAGCATCATTTGTTTCCTTCTGATGAGCACATCCTTTGGATGAACCCTGTATCATAGTATATGTTTTACTTTATCTTTTTCCTTTCTGTAAGCCCTTAGACTTTGGTCCTAATGATAGAGCTGGAGAAAGCATCTTCTCCTCCACATTCACAGTCTGCTGGACTCAGAGTGCCTTACTCTGCTTCTCTTCTTTATTTCATTGCCTAGTGTGCTTATTCTCTTCTTTCTCTCTCCCTCCCTGTCTCTCTTTTATTTTTGACTTTAAAGCAATATGTCCTCTACTTTTAAAAACATTAAATTTATTCTTTTGAGAACCATCGATGTATCATGTATACTCTGTGACTTGGTTGTATCCACTTCCCACTTTCCCTTCCAGCTCTTCCTGAATCCCCTCCAGCACACCCCTTTCCAGTTCTGGTCTTTCCTGATGCCCAGCTAGTGCTGCCTGTGTGCATGTGGATGGGTGGTCTTCTGCAGGAATGTGGGCAGCTACTGATGGCCAACCCCCCTGCCCAGCAAAGAAAATGATATCCCTTTCCCAGATGCCATCATGGTTCTTGCTTTTTGTTTTTCTTCTCTTCTATTTCCAGTTACCTTTTCCTCTGCCTGTTCTCTCATATTTCCCAATTTCTATAACCAATAAACACCCTAATTTCTATGACCAATAAACACATCTTTCAGTACAAAGTTTGCTGGTGGGTCTCTCTGCCTCTCACTGATCCACTTGCTATACTCTGACCCAATAGCTTTCAGAATGAAAAATTGGGACCATGTCCCTCTCCTCTGCAAGACAAGTGACTAGCTCTTAGTTGCTCTTAAAAGATAAAGCTGGCTTACATGGTTTTTCAGGCCTGTGCTTAACCCTACAGATCAAGCTGTTTCTGCAAGTTATGAGCATTTCTATATTAAAAAAATATACAAGAAACACAGTATAAGTAATATCAGACAACCCAGCTGAGCATGGAGTGCATTTAGGATTTAGACCCACACCCATCTGAGTCTCAAGAATCAGATTATAATCTCTGCTAAAATTTCTTTTTACTGTGTAAAGTATTTGTTCTACCATTTAATTGTCACAGCAGCAACACAAGCTAGGTTTGTGCATAGTATCCTCACATGAGCCTAAATTTGAAGAAAGTAATTTCAGGAAACACCTAAAGCCTGGCTTCACCTGTATAATCCATCATTCAACCTGTAGCAGCCTTCTGTAGGATGTTGGCAAGTGAATGAGAAATGTGTCTGGCTCATTTCTACAGCCCTCATAGGCGATCCTCTGGGGGGAAGAGGCTTTGGTTTATAAGTTCTTATAGACTCTCCACGACCAGCACTGAACACCCCAACATGCACAGCATATATCAATATTGTTGATTATGTTTAAGTGACCATACCAAATCAATCAATATGTATTTGCTCTCTCTCTCTCTCTCTCTCTCTCTCTCTCTCTCTCTCTCTCTCTCTGTGTGTGTGTGTGTGTGTGTGTGTGTGAATATAGTCATACATGCATACAGATAGAAGAAAGATGAATTAACTCACCAGGGTGACTTTCATTATATTTTATTAATTCTGCATTGTGATGTGCTCAAGCTGCCCACACCATATGTTTCACAAAGACCAGTGTTTCTACATTAAATAACCCTGGATATCACAATATACATTCACACATTTTTAATCTCAATTTGTTTCTGTGTCACTGTGCTCTCAGAGATGACATAGTTTTCCTCCAGCTACATTCAAAGAGGAAAAATGTAGATGTGGGTTTGCTTCTTGTTCATACTGGGAGGAAGTTCTTCTTTTTTTCTCTTTTACTACACACTAAGAAATCCCTGATGATAGTGCCTTAAAAATGGACTACACAGAGGGGAAATGAGTACAAGCCCGGGCATTGGCTGAAATGGAATCAGTTTCATTTGGGGCTGGCCCAGCACGATCAGCTGACTTGTATTCTCCTGACTGTAGACTCAAATTGTCCCATCCTGTTTGTGCAAGCTAGAGACAAATACCTTCATCCTCTCTTTCACAGTCCCAAGTCCCAAGAAAAATTTTGAAAAGAAAAAGAATAATTCTGTCTGTGTGGAGAGAGATTCTGTATTATAAAACGGCCTGTAATGCAGCCCATGAGGGGGTACACTGGCATTGATTGCACGTTAGCACACACATCGGTCTCCTGTGTTGAGCAGTTCAGTCTGACTCTGGTGAATTTGTCTCCCATATAATGATGATGATGATGATGATGATGATGATGATGATGATGATAATAATAATAATAATAAACAATTGCTAATTATTATTTCTGTCTGTGGCATGAAGGTATTGCCTATGGATAACTGATGGACCTGTTTAGGTTTGCTTATGCTAATATATATTCTCAATGCATATGAACCTCATTTTATTTTCCCCTCATATCCTGTAACCCGAGATGCCTCTTGATGTTTTCTTATTACTGAGGCCTTCCTGTACTTACCTAAATCACCTGTGCAGATGTCGGATGACTTTAAGTTCTTCTGGTGATTACTCATTTAGTAAGTGTCTCATTCAGACATGTTCTAATCATCCAATAACGATAGGTTTCATATAATGGCTTAATAAGTTACTCCTTTTAGATGGTGTTTTTAAAACCGGAAGGATCTTTCTGGTGAGATATTTTAAAAATCAGTTTCTCCAATTTTCTATGAGTTCCTAAGTGTATCGAGAGCATGCCTTTGCTTTACCTTCCTATTCTAGCTTCAATCACAAATGTCTCTTACTTACTATGGTTTATACGAATGCCCCTTTAAATCTTACATTAAATGCTTCAATTGCAGGCAGGAACCACCATGCCTAGTTAATGTAGTGCTAGAGAGTGAGCCCAGGCCTTCAAGCATGCTAGGCAAGCACTCAACCAATTGAACTACATCCCAATCATGCAAAATGTCTTTTTAAAGGTTTTTTTTTTTTGACATTGGAGATGGAGAGGGATATGGTAGGCAAGTCCTTCATCTCCTGGAGTTCTTCATCATTATCTCCCCTACTTTAACTGGAGAGATTAGGATCAAGTCTGGGGCCATATACATACTAGGTGTATGTTCTTCCACTGAACTGTGTTCTGAGCCTGGACTTTTTAGATTCTTAATGTGATTCTGTTGAGCAAACAGACCCTTCTGTGGTAGTGCAAATGCCCTTCATTGTCTTGTCCAGTGTGACGGCCATTAGCTACCTGTGAGCACTGAATACCTGGAGTGTAGCTGCTGGGAGTAAGGAACTGAGTTTCTAGCTGTTTAACTTCCATTAATCTGAATACTGAGCGAGTGCAATGCTTCTATGCTGACAATGCATTCTAGAGGATTAAGGGTGTGGAGACAGAGATAAATCGGCAAATAAAATAGTTTCACATAATGAAATTTACCTGAAGGAAAAGAAAATGGGCAATGATCTATAACTAGGAAGGTTCTTTATATGGGGGTGGCTGTTGATGAGGCATCAATAAGTACAAAATAAGTAAATTATGAAGTTATATCTATAACTTATAACATGATTATAAATATAACTTTTTTTTTTAACTTTACCACTTGGTATGTTGGCTTGGGAACCCTTATTTGGTGATCTAAGGAATTTCTATGGGAACCTGTCTTAGGGTTTCTATTGCTGTGAAGAGACACCATGACCACGGCAACTCTTATAAAGGAAACATTTAATTGAGGTGGCTTGCGGTTCATAAGTTCAGTCCATTATCATCATGGTGGCACATGGTGGCGTGCAAACAGAGATGGTGCTGGAGGAGCTGAAAGTTCTGCATCTTGGTCTGCAGGCAACAGGAGGTGAACTGTGCACCATACTGAGTGTAGCTTGAGCAAAGGAGACCTCAAAGCCCACTCCCACACAGTGATACACTTCCCCCTATGAGGCCACACTCAAGAAAGTCACACCTCCTGATAGTGCCTCTCCCTTTGGGGGTCATTTTCTTTCAAACCACCACAGAACCCAAGTTCCAAATTTTATAATACTTTCCCAGGTTTCTATAATTTTTAATAGCTGCATTTTTTCCCTCCTAGGCCTGAGTTGTCATCTCCAGTTCCTGTTGGTGATACCTCAACATTGGCAGGTATGCTTTTTTTCCCCTACAATTCGCTTTTATTTCTTAGCTATTGAAGACTTAAGACAAGTTTTCAAGCAAGTATAGATTTTCAGCTCACATTTTAAAAATGTTTATTTTTGTGTGTGTATTGCTCAAGGAAAAAACAATTATTTTTCACTTAATTCATGCTATTATACTGTGAGTACTTTACAAGTCAGAATGCAGCTTAAAACACGAGTGTGACACATGAATTATTATTTTTTTAAATTTTATTAGTTCAAATTAGGAACAAGATTGCTTCAGATGTCAACCCCTTCTCCCTCTCCCTTCCCTTCCCCCAACATCCTACCTGCCCCTAGCCATCCCCCCTCCTCTCCCCAGGCAGGGTAAGGCCCTCAAAAGGGGCTCCCCAAAGTCTACCACATCATCCTGGGCCAGGCCTAGGCCCTTCCCCAGACACATGAATTATTTTAACACAGACACTTAAGTTGAAGGTAGAACTTTTGTGTTGTCACTTGGCCTGGACTTTCCCAGTATTAGGATTTTCTGACACATCTGGGCGTACAGCATCCTTTGAGAGCTGCTTTATTTTAAGTTGAAAAGATTTTCATTATTTTTTAAATTTAGGTGTTCTAAATTTAATTTTGTTGCTTGTGTGTGTATCTCTCTGTCTGTCTCTCTCTGGTGTGTGTGTGTGTGTGTGTGTGTGTGTGTGTGTGTGTGTGTGTTTGTGTCTGTATGCAGTGTATAAGTATGTGCTTGGGGAGGCCAGAAGAGGGCATCACACCAAAGAAAGTGTCAGAGTTGGAGTTACAGGCTGCCTGACACCTGTGATAAGAATCAAACAAGGGTCCTTTGGAAGAACATGAAGTACTCTAACTGTTGATCCATCTCTCCAGCCCAAAGTTCTGTGTTTCATGTAAATTAGTCAGTCTCTTTCTCTTCTTGCCTCTTCCTGTCTCCTCTCTCGCCTCTGTCTTTCACCAATTTCTTCCTTCCTTCCTCTTCTTTCTCTCTTCTTTTTGCTAGAGTTGAACCCAAAGGCATCTTTCATGCTAGGGAGATGCTCTCACAAGGACTACACTCAAGCCCTTAGCATTTTTTTTTTATGACATTTTCCTCTTTTTTTTTTTTTAAAAAGATTTTATTTATTTATTATGTATACAACATTCTGCTTCCATGTATATCTGCACACCAGAAGAGGGCACCAGATCTCATAATGGATGGTTTTGAGCCACCGTGTGGTTGCTGGGAATTGAACTCAGGATCTCTGGAAGAGCAGTCAGTGCTCTTAACCTCTGAGCCATCTCTCCAGCCCAAGCCCTTAGAATTTTTAATAAAAACTATCAACTTCTTTGTCTTAGAAATTTTGAGCACACACAAAAATAGAATAGTATGATGTGGCTCCGTTTTGATGATTGTTAAATAATGACCAGGCTATAGTTTCACAAATATAGTTATGCACTTCAGTGTCTGTTCCCTTTGCTAACTAGAAAGCTCCTTAGAAATAGAAACTTTCTTTTTATATCCTAGCATCTATATTAGAGCCTAGCACATTAAACAACCAACCACCCCCAACAGCACTTGTTTAGTGAGTCATAATTATTAAGATTCTAGGAAGCCTCTACAAATGTCTCTTAAGTTTTTAACTAAAAACCCTTCAACATAAAAAAGCGAAGGTCTTGTAAGAATGGCTTTTGAAGGAAGTCTTTAATTCCTGACATGAATTCTGGCTTACTCAGGGACTAATGTCGTGTGGGTCTTGTTTTCTGCTTAGGTGCTGTTCCCAGTGCTTTGTATCCAGGGGTGGCCTCAGAGAGCAGTGTGGTGTCACCAGAGGAGAGTGTAAGTCCAGCTCTGTTTTGTTACTTTCTAACAGGGAGGATGGGGGTTAACAGGGTTTATTCCATTTCTAGGCTGCACAGGCCTTCACACAGTGCTCAGCTCTGAAAAAAAAAAAAATCATGACTTCTAAATCCAGTACATTCGGAAATCTGATGTTCCTTGGAAGAGCTGAATAGGCCTGTCATATTGGTAATTTTTTTGATAGAGGATTTCTGGGAAATTCTCATGGTGACAAATATGTGGCCTTCTAATCAATGGTACATTGGGCCTTTCTTTCTCTTTAGAGAGAAAGAAAATGGATTTTATGTAGTTTAATATTCTGGAAGTTATCACTCCTTTTAAATACACCATGATTAACAGAGCCTGTCTACTAAAAGGCACTTACAGATGAGGGTCTACGACAAAAGATTACAGGGTAAGTAAAGGATTCTACCGTGTCCAGGCAGATGGAAGCATCTTATTAAAAGTTGTGTTAAAATCTGGGTTGGGAGATGGCTCAGTGGAGGGAACACTAGAGATGCAGAAGTAAGAGATGGAGTTCAATATTTTGATAGAGATTGTATTAAATCTGAAATTTCTTTGGGTAGTACAGAATTTTAGCAATATTAATTCTTGTACTCCATGAACATTGCACATTTTCCCTCTTTATGTGTACATCATTGTCTTCGGTATTTTATAATGTCATTGTAGAACTCCTTCACTTCCTTGAGCAAATTTATTCCTTAGAATTTTAATTTTTAGTAACTGTTAAGAATAAAGCTGCCTTTTGCAGTTATTATTAAAGTATTAAAGTAATATTAAAGTATTTCCGGCTTTTGTTTGTTAATTTTGTAGACCATAACATTAATGAATTTGCTTGTGAGTTCTAATAGTTATTTTGAGGTGTCTTCAGTGTTTGTATACACATATATAGCCACATCATATGTAATCACATACTGTGTCTTACCTTCCTTCCCTCTAGCTTGGATACCTTTTCTTTCCTTCTCTTGCTTCATTTCAGTAGCTAAGACCTCCCGTACTGTCTTAAATAAGTGTACACCCTGCCTTTCTTTATTATAAATGTGGCTTTTTGCCTTAAAGCTCACAAATCAACCTCTGTTAGCTTCAAACTTTCTTGCACTGCTTCCGTACCCTTCTCAGCTTTCATAGACTTGAAGAATATTCAGGCCTTCGTCTGTATTAGACTGGGGAGAGGGTGAGCAAGCTGGTGTTGGGACAGTCAGAACACTTATCCAGGAAGTCTACTACCTTATTTATGTGGGTGTGGTTCATGGTGCTATAGAATTGCTATAGTAACAACACCAGTGACCTCAGGTTGTCACCTTATTGGACACAGCTATCATAAAAAGTTTAAAATACTCTTAAATTCCCAAGATACAGCACAGACTCCTCAAGTGAGCACACATGGTTAGAACAATGACCCCTGTAGACTTGCTACGCAGGCTTCCACCTGTACAAACACCGTGCCTGCAGAGTGCAAGAAAGCAAAGGGCAAAAAAGATGAGTTGTTGATTTTGTTTCGAATTTGTTATATCTATTTAATGTGGAGCATTATATTTTTTAATTAGTTCAAATTAGAAACAAGCCTGCTTCACATGTCAATCCCTTCTCCTTTCCCTCCTCCCCCACCTCCCACCAGCCCCCTACCCCATTCCCCCTCTGCTCCCCAGGGAGGGTAAGGCCCTCCATGGGGATCCCCAAAGTCTGTCATATTATCCTGGGCATGGCCTAGGCCCTCCCCCATGTGTCTGGGCTGAGAGAGCATCCCGCCATGTGGGATGGGCTCCCAAAGTCCTTTCTTATACCAGGGATAAATACTGATCTACTACCAGAGGCCCCATAGAGTGCCAAGGCCTCCTCATTGACATCCACATTCAGACATCCATGGGTCTGTATCAGTCCATGCTGGCCTCCCAGGCATCAGTCTGGGGTCAATGTCGGGAGCATTATATTGAATGTAAATTCTGAGAATGTCTTAGCTATGACCTCTCACGATCCGTTGTAGGTCTGATTGCCTCTTTTCCCATCATGGCTCTTCATTATTTTAATAACTTTCATTTCTTTGTTGAAACTCCAGTTCTTCCTCTCTATCAATTCTTCCTTTAGTCTTGTTTGATATGTTGTCAAATTGTCCTCAGAGATTTAAGAACTCCTGCTTTATGGGGAAATCTCGGAGTTGCCTTTCAGCAAGGACAGGGCTTCCTGCTGGTACTTTAACCTTTGCGGTCTTTAAAATTCCAGCTTAGGCCGTGAGGAATAGCATCTGCTTCATAGAAGCTGACATCGTCTATGTGAAATTGTCTTCCTGGTGTCTTTTAATCTCTGTTTTAGCATCTTGACATCTTGGTCTTTTTCTTTCTGTTTTTACTGTCTTAAATACCAGGTAGGTTTTCAAAACATTAAAACAACCAGCATTTTAGGTGTTCTTCAGAGATAAGGTTAGTAAGTATATTTTAAATAAAAATATTAGAACTGGAAATCTCTGTCCAGTTTACTCTGATGGAATTTAAAGATATATTTATTTTAAAAATTGTGTGTGTGTGTGTGTGTGTGTGTGTGTGTGTGTGTGTGTGTGTGTGTGTGTGTGGTTTGCGTTCATGTGTGTGAAGGTGCCTGAGGAGCCAGAGAAAGACACCAGGTCCCCTGGGACTGGACTTAGAAGTGGTTGTGAGTTGCTCAGTATGGGTGCCGGGAACCAACCCCAGTTCTCTACGAGAGCAGCAAATGCTCTTAGCTCTGATCCATCTCTCCAGCCCTGAGAAGAAAAGTAAAAAACAAAGAGACAGTCTTGTATAAAATTTCACATAACTAACAACTTTTGTCGGTAGTGGTCTTAGTATCACTGAGCAATAGCATGTACTTACTGGAAAAACACCCAATGCAATAAACTGTGGTGTAAAATTAGATTGCATTAATAAAAATGTAGAATCTCCTTTAAGTAGGTGATAGTCCCACCATATCTTAATTAGAACTCATGTATGGGTGTCACACTCTCAGGTAAAAATTAAGGTCACTGGAAGTGTCAGGAGGAGAGGAGCAGTGACAAGTCAGAAGAAGCTTGGTAGCTTCCTGGCATCTGTTCAAGACCCTCTGTGGCTGTAGTTTACTTGTGAGCCAGGGCACACAACCTTTCTCAATAATGGAACTTACAGGGAGGCAGTTTGGGTTTGTTTAACAGGAAGACTTTCACGGCTGTGGCAGCCTTTTGGATGTGTGAGAGCCTGTTCTAAAAAACATGTCTGTTTCTGATGACAGCTCTTTAAGCTGAGATGAGCAGCCTTTTGTCAGGGATGTTGTAGAGAGAATTCAAGCACCAGAAGGAATGGGGTGGTGTTCAAGGTTATTTCCTGTTCTGAAACTTGATAGGTGTCTGTTATGTGAGCCACCAGATGAAAGGTGATACAATGAAAAGACAGGAATGTTCTAGTCTCAGCTCTGCCATGGGCTTGCTCAGCATTTCCAGGCTGCTCATGTATCCTTCCCACGTTTCTAAATGTCCAATGGAGGCAGTGGATGTAAATGGGCTCATTTAAATGTGCTGCTTACAGCAAGTATTACAGTAGTGTTCCAGAAGTAAAGGTAGAATTCCCTCAGTCCTTCTAGGCTTATTAAGTAAACTTCCGAAAGAAACCGTTACTACACTCATTTATTTAGTTTTTTTATTCATATGAGTGGATTTATGGATATTTTGTTATTTGGGTTAATATTCAATATTAATTTTGTTGCCCAAGTTATATCAGCTTTGGCCACTGGAAGACCTGGAATATTCTTTCTTTTTTTCTTTTTGAGACAGCATCTTGGGCCCTCACTCTGAAGCTCATGTAACTTGCTATGAGGCCCAGGCTGGTCATTCTCCAACCTCAGCCTTCTGACCATGGGAATATAGATGTAAAGTACCACACTAGCTTCTTGATTTTGTGTTTTGTACTTGTGTGTGTGTGTGTGTGTGTGTGTGTGTGTGTGTGTGTGTGTGGTTTCTAGGATTGAACCCAGGGCCTTGAATATGTTAGTCAAGTGTTCCCCAGCCTAGAATTAGGTTTTAATGTCACAGAATGCAACAGAAAATTTGTTGGGTTTTGACGAATGGCAATTAATGTTTAAGAAATGACCTCTTTAAGCTTGTGTTGTGTCATTACAGAATATTCCAAGTTATCTGAAAAGATTATTGCTCTGTTCCTTTTTCCCTAATACATATTTTTATGGCCAGATTTTCTTCATGTTGCTTCCATTAAAATAACACATTTTGATTAATTGAATACAGAAATAAACATGAGAATTCAGCCATCTTGTATTAAGCCAGACATTCAAGAATTTGTAAAATTATAAACAATGTCAGTCTTCCACTATTTTCAGCTTCACAGCATGTGTTGTTGACTTTTGCACTAAATTTGCTTACTCTGTTATTATTATTACTTTTGAGACAGGGTGTTACTGTGTAGCCTTGGCTGGCTTAGAGCTCACCATGTAGACCAGGCTGTCCTTGAACTCATAGAGATCTTCCTACCTCTGTCTCCCAGTGCTGGAACTAAAAGCATGTACCACCATACCCAACTAATCTGTTGTTTTTTAATGAATTAGTATATGTTTTTCAAATTTATCCTTTGAAATTTTGTTGGTAAATATTTAGATTTATAATAAATAATAATAACGTTTTTGAGTTGCTGAGTTATTTTCAAGAGTTTAAAGGGATTCTTGAACCAAAATGTTCAAGAACCATCTCTGTAAGCTATGTTTTGATGAAATTATAGAATAGTCACCTATTTTCTTATTCATCTTGATAGTTTCCTATAGAAATGTTCTTGCTCTTTCTTGTCAATGTGTGCTGAAAGAATATACAAGTGTATAGTGATTATAACATTCACTTAATCCTAAAGGTTATTCAATATATTATAAAATTGAATACTATATAAAAAGTCATCATTTGATGCAGTGTTTGGAACTTTGAGGGTAATAGGTAAATATTTATTGACTGAATGAATAATTACTGGTATTTGTATTTTTTATAAATCCAGATCAGTAATGAAATCGAGACGGTGACAGAGGAGCCCACACAGCCTGCTGTGGAACAGATAGCTGAATTCAGCATCCAACTTCTGGGAAAGCAATACACTGAAGAACTGCGTGATCCCTCTAGCGCCATCTACCGACTCCTTGTTGAAGAGTTCATTTCCGAGGTGGGTGATTTTTTGTTTTTTTTTAAAGTTTTAAAAAGAAACTTTTATTTATTTGTTTTAAACATGTGCATTATAGGAAACAAGCATTACCCATGTGGGTGGTTCATTTGATTGGATAACATGATTGTTCATTGGGGTTTAAGTTTCTCATAACCACAACACTGCTTAAATGTAAGTTGAGGATTCAAACTGACCATCTACTAGGTTGCAAATTAACCACTTCAGAAAATTTTGTGAAAAGTTCAGAGAAAGGTAAACTCTTTCTTAGAAACAACATCTTTCTACCCATTAACAAGTAGATGCTCTTTGTAACTCACCACAGCCAAGGAAGAACAGAGTCTGTGGTTTAATTTCAGCTTGTCAACGTTTGGAGAAATGAATGTCTCTGAACAGCCATGTACGGCATATCTTTTATTCCCTGTCGAGAACAATAAGCTTAATTCTTTAAAGTTCATCTTTACTCTTTTTTGTTCTTAGTGTGGACACTTTTTTGTAGTTAACTCACAGGTGAGTGTGTGAAAGTTGAGAAACACTAGAGGGGTATGGGGAATCAATCCCCTGTCTCTGTCCTCTGGCTCTGGAGAGAGGTTTTTTCCTTTTTAAGGGATTTTTTTCTAAATAGCCACCTGTTAAACCACACCATCACTTACCCTCTGCAAGAATTCTCTATAGAGTTTGAACTCAGAATTCTTCTATTAAACGTTAGCCATACCTGGTGCCCTCCTAGCGTGTCTTTGTTCTTATGTAGCATCGCCCTGAATGCCATCTACTCTTCGGCATGATAACTGGGCACACCATTTTTTTTTCTGTTTATTTCTTTTCCATTCCTACTTGATTGGTTTCTCCTTGACCAAGTTTGTTAATTCCATTACCTTAGCTTAATTTCCTTCCCTAGTCATTGTGTCCAGATGGGAAATAAAAATATGCATTGGTCAGCCAAATAGCATCATTGCAGCCATCAGACATGGGGAGGAGTGCAGGCCAGACAATTCATTTTCCTAACTGTGCGGCCAAGTTGCAAGGCTGTATGGTATGCAGGAGAAATGTCAGCCAGGCCAGTGGCCACCTGGCATCAGACACAGTCTTGAATTGGCTGTCTGGTCTTCCTGCCTGGGTTAAGGAGTCTTTAATATGCCTCAGTGTTTGAGTAAACAAGTGCAGGCATGACTGGAGATTTAGAGAAAATCTAATAAACATCCTGAAAGGTGTCCCGTCAATAATGACTTTATGAGATACGTGGCTACTGAGCTGAGGTAATTTGAGGCTGATGAATGGTCTGGGCCAATCATGAGCCACCCACTTCTTCCTCTGGCTAGCTAACCTCTGTATCGTGTACACCTTCACCTTCTGACCTGGAGTGATGTGCTCTGATGATAACCATTTCTTTTTGTGGAAGGTGCTCTCTCTCTCTCTCTCTCTCTCTCTCTCTCTGTCTCTGTCTGTCTCTGTCTCTGTCTCTCTCTGTGTGTGTCTGTGCTGTGTATGTGTGCTCTTGTGTGTTCAGACACCATAACTTTTTTAAGAGAGAGAGAGAGAGAGAGAGAGAGAGAGAGAGAGAGAGAAAATTGTAAACCTGTGGCCAGACCAAGTACAACAGAAAGGACTCAGGATAGTATGATAACTGGGAGGGCGGAAGGAAGGCAGACACAGTACAATGTTTCTGCAGGCTGCTGTCCACTGTTTGCCTGTGGTCATGCCTTTTAGGTGAGGTTCAAGAGACCAGAACTTGTTCATGTTTATTTCGGCCTCTAAATGAGCAGAACATAAAATCAGAAGTGTGTGTGTGTGTGTGTGTGTGTGTGTGTGTGTGTGTGTGTGTGCACTTGTGCATGAGGCACACACACATCTGTGTGAGCACACGTGCGTGTGTTCCTGTTTGTAGGGTACATACACGTGTGAGTGTGTATATGGACTTTTGAGTGTTTTCTTCAGTCATTCTCCATCCTAATTTTTGAGAAAGGATGCGTTCCAAAGGTGGGTGAGCCACCTTTGGGGAATTTTTATGGATTAAATATTAATTTTGTTTAAATACATATTTTTATGTAATTAAATTATTTTTAGACTCCCAGTCTGGTATTCTTTTTCTTTCTTCAGTCACTGAGCTCATATGGACGGATGTGGCTGCATTTTAAAGACTTGGTATTGAAGCCAGCTCTCATGGGTGTGACACTCATAAATTGATATTTTAGCAAGCAGAGTTATCTGGCCACTGCTTCTTAATCTATTTTGTGACAACCAGTCTGTTCTGGGGGATAATGTGGGCCTTGTAGACATTTCTGAATGCTGAGTGTATTCCTAGTTCTCTTGTGATGTGGGGGACAGGAAACAGACACACTCAGACACATTCACACTCAGAGAAAACAGACACTTGACTATGCCAGGGTGCTTTCGAGGCCAGATTTCCAACTGGAACAGTAACATTTAAAAATGCTGTTATACAAGTACTATTATAGCTTCTTTTGAAACGAACGTTTTTTAGTATTTCACACAAAAGGAGGAAAATGTTGCTCTAATAAGTATGCTTTTTATAAATTAAAAATAAAATTGAAGCACATTAAAATTATGAAAGATCAAATGAAAAAGAAATAATGATGGTATTGTGGTAAGCACTATTTTATAACATTGTAAGCTCTAAGCGTACAAGCTATTTTATAACATTGTAAGCTCTAAGCGTACAAGCTCTATTTTATAACATTGTAAGCTCTAAGCGTACAAGCACTATTTTATAACATTGTAAGCTCTAAGCGTACAAGCTCTTATAATTGTAAGATACAAGTGTACTTTTTGTTCTGCTCTTCAAGCATTTGAAATATACTTTTGCATGTTCTTCATAGTTATCATCTTTATTTTCTTAACAGGTTGAAAACGCATTCACTGGATTACCAGGATACAAGGGCATCCGTGTTCTTGAATTCAGGTAAAGAGATTTATTCTAAGAATGCATGTGTGGAATAGCCTGAGTTCATTACATATATTCTAACAGCACATGATTGGAGTGCTGTGATAATGTTATTTGTGGTCAATGAGCATTTTAACACTAGTTTTGTACAAGTGAAACCGAATTAATGAGGGTCAAAGTAATGTATCCATGGAGATGTAGCTCAGTCTGTGGTTGGACCACAGTAAGAACCTAGGTGTTATTCTGACAAGCTATGCAGCTCTCTCTCATTTGGCATCAGACCCTCGAGTCAGACTGGAACTGACCTCAGGCTTTCTCTGAGGTGTCTCAGTGCTGTAGTGAGGTAACTGTCAATCCTCAGGGTAGACACTTCCAACCCTCCTTTTCCAGAGGAAAAAAAAAACAGGTTTAAAAGGCATGAACTAGCCCACTGTGGATAAGCAGCTGTCACCTGAGGGTGGAGGAGAGATTTTGAAATGAAATAGCTCAAATTTCAGGGCTTGCTCTTAACATCCATGTGTGAGTCTTCCATTTGGGGGCTGGGCAATAGCTGTTGCCCAGCTGTTGGATACAGGGACACAAGTTGGGGCTGTGCTCCATGTTCTCAGCCGGACTTGTGGGGCAGCAATCACAGCAAGTATATATATGTGGTGTGTGTGTGTGTGTGTGTGTGTGTGTGTGTGTGTGTGTGTGTGTGTGTGTGTGTGATGCCCAGTTTTCTTCTGCTAAAAAAAAAAAAAAAAACCAGAACAGAGAAAATTGAAATTACTAACCCAAGGGCATGAGTCTACCTAGTGCCATGTCTATTATACTACCTACTTGAATTCATGCTACAACAATCCATCACATATGCTTATCCACGATGACCAGAATGAAGGCCTTTGAAGATCTCACTCATTTGGTAGCTTGTGGCACAACCATGGCCACTGGAGCCATCTTGTCTAGCTAGGAATGCTGCCTGTGCATCTTGGCCTGGATGGTTTTGAGTGGATTACTAGATCTCGACTTTTCATCTGCATAAAATAAATTTATCCATTTGTCCTGCTTTATTAAAAATGCTTTTGCATTATTTTGGGTAAATTAATAGTGTCTTTATTCTTTAGTCTCTTTATATGCAGTGTGGATATTAGCACTCCTTAATGAATTTTCATGAGGGTTAAGTGAATTAAGTTTTGTAATGTATTAGCACAGTTTCAGGCATAGGAGAAGTTCTATTTTTAGAAATATTGTATTAGTTTGTGTATATGGGTATTTTGCACCACATGTGTGTAGTCCTCCCAGAGGCTAGAAGAGGGTGTTAGGTTCCCAGGGACTAGAGTTACAGACAGTTGTGAGCTGCCATGTGGATGCTGGGGATCCAATCTGGGTCCTCTGGAAGAGCAGCCAGTACTCCTAACTGCTAAGCATCTTTTCAGACCAAGAAGTTCTGTTTGATGCCTGTTATATAAAATAAACAAAGACTAAAAGCCGGGTAATGTACCATAGGCTAGCTGGTCTACCTTTACTGATGGTCTTCGTATAATTGTTCTTAACTACTGAGCCATCTCTCCTGATTTTAATACCAACAACTGAAGTTCTCTGATGATCTGACAAAAAGTTGATTTACAAAGAGATAAATCACACATTTAAGAAGTATTTTTAGGATAAATCTGAAAACTGTAAAAATCCTTGGTTTTAAGATGACTTCTTTCTTTCTTCACCTTCATTTCCTTTTTTTTTTTTTTTTTTGAGACATGGTCTTTCTGTGTAGGCTTGGTTGTCTTGGAGCTTGATATATAGACCAACAGGCTGACCTCAAACAAACTCTCTCTCTGTTTCTCTGTCTCTCTGTCTCTCTGTCTCTGTCTCTCTCTCTGTCTCTGTCTCTCTCTCTCTTTTTCTCTCAACATCTAGTACCTTGTAGATCTGATTTAGTGTAAGTATTTCCCTTAAGAAGATATTTCAAAGCTGGGTGTTGGTGGTGCACGTCTTTAATCCCAGCACTCAGGAGGCAGAGGCAGGTGGATCTCTCTGAGTTCGAGACCAGCCTGGTCTATGAGAGCTAGTCCCAGGACAGCCTCCAAAGCCACAGAGAAACCCTGTCTTGAAAAACCAAAAAAAAAAAAAAGAAGATATTTCAAATAAAATCAGAAGACGGACAATGTGTACTGTGACGAATGATGTGACAATTATAAAGATAATTGAACTCTAACTGATACTTTTGTTATTTTTCAGGTCCCCTAAGGAAAATGGCAGGTAAAAGTCCCTTTCGGTACTTTCTGTGTTGTTCATTGTTAGTATCCAGTGCTAGGGTACAGAAGAGTACCACTCATTTCTCCAGTCTCCTAGTCTCATTGTGCCACCCCTTATAGATCAAAAGTTGGCAAGCTAGAAAGAGCCATGATAGATACTTTAACCTTTGAAGGCTGTAGAGTCCCTGTTGCAACTTCCCAAGCCAATGGGTGAAATTAGACACAGGGAATTCATTGTAAACTAAAGAGGATATCTGTTCCCCAGCAAAGCTTTATTTATTCACTAGGAGTGGTGGTACACACCTGTAATCTTAGTTCTTAGACCGTGGCAGAATGATGACAAGTTCAAAGCCATCCTGGGTTGCATAATGAAATTTTCTGTTCAAACAAAACAAACTTGCCAAGACAAAAAAAATTAAAAATTAATTAATTTTTATTTTCTGAGTAGTGATTGGTGTTTTTCCTGCATGTATATCTGTGTGAAGGTGTCAGATCTCCTGAAACTGAAGTTACACACAGCTATAAGCTGCTATGTGGGTGCTAGGAACTGAACCTGGGTCCTGTGGAAAAGCAGCCAATGTTCTTAACCACAAAACCATTGCTCCAGCTCAACAAAAACCATTTTATGAACACTGAAATAGGAGTTCCATAGACATTAGGCTGAAGTTCACTCATAGGCTATAGTCGATAGCTGACTAACTGGTATTTTAAACACTGCATTAATTTAACATAGGCATAGAACTCATTAGTAAATACATTTTCAAGCCCTTTGTGGAATTTAATATCTGATCAGATGCACTTTAAAGTACATTTGATGAAGGTGGTATCATTGAACTTTATAATAGCTCATTTGTAAAAACAACTGTTCTTGAATTTTTAGGAAGCAAAATGCAAATACACAATCAATACCCCCCTATTTTGAAAGTTTTGTCCATAGATTCTTAATTTAATTCTCTTAGAAGCCTGGTAAATACAAATGGAGTCTGTGAAGCAAATCCATAGGCTAACTATAGAAGTGTTTAATGGTTACAGAACTATTCCTTCATTGTACAGTCAGCTTAGCATCTTTAGCTTCCATATCTGTGGATTCAACCAACTGCTCATGACAACATTATAAAACATAAACCAAAGACAATAAAGACTCATTTGTCTGTAGTGAATGTATATAGACATTTTGGGTTGTCATTATGCCCCAGATAGTAAAAAGTGTTTATATATAACATTTACACTAAGAAGCATTCTAGAGAGGATTTAAAACATTGGTTTTCAACCTGACCCACAGGGGTCACATATCAGATATTTACATTATGATTCATAGCAGTTGCAAAATTACAGTTGTGAAGCAGCAATGAGATAATTTTATGGTTGGGGGTCACCATGACATGAGGAGCTGTATTAAAGGGTCACAGCATTAAGAGTTTAAGGGCTACTGCTTTAAATGTAGTGTCTACTCTATTGCATTTAAGGGGCTTAGATGTTGTGGAATTTGGCATGCATGGCTTGAGGGTGGTCACTGCAACCAACCCCCAATAAACACCTAACGTTGACAAGAATGTCTTGGTTTGAAAAGGGCTTTCTGATCTTATTTACATTATTTTGACAAATATTTATGAAATAATGCCTTGTTATTGGGCAAACCCCATGCATAGAGAAATGAATAATTTTGGGGTTTTGTCTTTTTGGAATGTGTAGAGCGGAGATCCCCACCCCATGTTTTAAAAACTTTATCATCTTTGTACCCTTGTGGGATAGTAAAATAAGGATTCATATTTGTTTCCCTTTGGCTAGTGAGGACATTTTTCTTTAGAGAAACAGATTGTCTGGTTGGAAGTTACATGACTAGGAGATATCAGATATCTTGACCAATCAGAATTTGGGTCTCTGTACTTTTAGTGATTGTAACCTACTCTGCATTATGTATTATTGCTAGAGTGCTGTACCCACTCAAGATATTACCTGTACAGTTAACTTCTTCTTATGGTGATTGGACTGGAAAAAGCCCTAAATCCTGAGGTGACCCCTAGTATTGGCAGGGTAGTAGCCATTTGCTGACTGCTCACAGTCCTGTATCGAACACAGAAAACAATTAAATGAAGTCACTACATTATTATAGAATGTTTCCAAAATTGTGTCGTGTTATCAGGTGGTAGCAGTTAATTGAGTTTCTTTGTAAATCTGATGTACTGATTTTTCGAGTTGTGCATGAGCTACTGTGTAGAACAGAATAAAGAATATGCACTCTGTCCTTCTTTTGCACCAGCATTTAGATGCATGTGAGATTTTTGATTTGTGTTTTGCTGTGTACAATCCCCACTTATTACATATATGCAGTAGAACCTATTTGAAAGGAATAGATAGTATGTCAGTCTGGCAAACACATGTCCTAACTTCAGCTTCAAGTTTTGTAAAGATGCGCTTTCTTTCTAGAAGAAACATTACTAGAGAGGCATTGTCGGAGTTCCCCTGAAATACTCTACTCTTATTTAGCTTGAGTGATGATATGGAGCAACACTACTTTCCTTTTTAAAAATATGTACACCCAAATAGTGGATTGGGGTATTTAGGGTGAGAGAATATGGGGGAACCTTTCCTCCCTATGACTGGTGCCTAAGTGATGGATTCCAGGGTGATTAACACTGAAACGAATCTGGTGCCACAGTGGTTGGCTACCCCAGGTTACTGAGTGTGGGGCCAGCACAGCTTTCTTCAATCAGAAATGTTCTGTCTATCCTCCTTGGCCTCTTGAAATTTATAAAAATTTCCCTCCTCCTGAGAAGTCTTTGCACTTTATGGCTTGCCAGAATACAGCCTTCTTGGGTCACAGTGAAGTTCTTGGCTTTAAGAATACATGGTTTCTTGGTATTGCAAGTATTTCTTTGAGTTCTGGTTCCAAGACAAAAAACATGATAATAAATTACAGTATCTTTCCAAGTCATTTTATCTTTCTTAATGAATTTATCTTTACTAGACAAGGTATGTTATAGTAGACATATTATCTTTAGATGAGCAATGCAATCACTGGGAGGTAAAATGATTTGTTGTCAGTAGAGGACGAGGTTGGTAATCTAACACAGACTTCCTGATTTGCATAGATTTCTCATCCAAGAACATTTCTCATGGTCTTCTCTCCTTCATGTTTAAAAGCCATGTAAGGCACATGTTAGGTTTCCAGTAAATAAGTGGTTGACTATCCTTGCCCAAGTTTCCACATAATGAGGAAGCCATTTGGGTTCTGTTAGGCACAGCCCCATCTTCCTCCTCTTCTCCCGTGCCCTACCTCTTTTTTCTCCCTCCCTCTTCCTTTTCTTAGTTGTTACTATTGTTTGTTGTCTTAATGATAATACTACAAGAAAGTTTAATAAGTTGTACAGATACCTTGAGGAGGAGCCCAACTTTCTGGATATGCAGATGTAATCCATCCCACCGGCTTTGCAAAGAGTATGGCATCCTCACTGAGTTATGGAACCCAGAAACAGTGTCTCTAAATGAGTCCTAAGACACAAATGTATGAAGAAAATAGAAACACTCTGCAGGATAAAACTTGTTCCTTTTATATTTAGGGACAGAAAATACTTCAGCTTAAGAGATGAAGTGCCATTTAAATGGCAAAGATTCAAATTATCTTATCTGTTTATATTAGTGACAGCATCAATTATTTTGTCATTACTTTTGGAAGCATTTATTGAGGTACTATGAGCTAGGCATTGTTCTGGATGCTTGTAATGCATTAATCCAATGTTTGGAATAATAATTGTGTCAGTCCAGATGGTGGGAGAGATAGAACATGACCCATGTTGTCAGTATGAAAAAGAAACTCCCTGAGGAGGTGACCTTTAAGCTGAAGCATTGAAGAAATAGGCAGGTAAAGGAGGCAAGTGGATGTGCGTTCATGAGAATGAGGAGATGTGTGGACTGGGAGGAAATAAGCATACCGAAGACAAGGGAGTGGCATGCAGAGATCCGACATAATCAGTATGTGGCACCTGTGTGTCAAAAAGACCAGAGGTTCCCAAAGAACGATGGGGAATGTGACATAGGAAGGTTGACTGGAAGGTGTCTTCTTACTGTTTTATGCCTTGAAATCATCACACAATTTCTTTTCAACTTTTTTTTATTTGAATTAGAAACAGGATTGTTTTACATGACAATCCCAGTTCCCCTCTCCCTCCCGTCCTCCCCTACCCCCCCCAACTAAAACCCTACCTATCACATATCCTTTCTCCTCCCACTGGATGGTGAGGCCTTCCACAGGGTGTCATCAGAGTCTATCATATCCTTTGGGATAGGGCCTAGGCCTACCCCTGTGTGTCTTGGCTCAGGGAGTATCCCTCTATATGGAATGTGCTCCCAAAGTCCATACCTATGCTAGGGATAAGGACTGAACTACTACAGGAGGTCCCATAGATTTCCGAGGTTTCCTCACTGAAACCCATGTTCCTGGGGTCTGGATCAGTCCCATGCTGGTATTCCAGCTATCCATTTGGGGAGCAAGAGTTTCCCGATGTTCAGGTCAGCTGTTTCTGTGGGTTTCACCAGCCACAATTTCTTTCTTTAAAGAGAAAAGTTGAAAATTACTCATAGAGGAACATCTGAGTCTAAAAAATTAAAAGGCTTTAATTGCTTGAGGTATTGAGGACATGATATGGTCACACGTCAGAATGACTTTCAATCACCCGCTTACCCTCTCTATAGTCCCAATAGTCCCCTTTCTGTCTTCAACTAGCTCCCTTTCTGCCTTTATGTCTTTTTTTGTTTGTTTGTTTGTTTGGAATGTGGCTGAGGGTCTGTTTACAGAAGTGTCAGTTATCACTTTTAAGAGTTCTAAGTCACCCTTTGAAAGACCCCCGAAGAGGTACTTTCGTAGAAGGAATCAGCGAGACCACGGACTTGGATGCAAACTGCAAGAGGCTTTATTGGAGATACGGGTACCCGGGAGACTTAGCTTCTGTGAGGCCAAGCGCGCCGAGCCAAGGGAAAGCGGTCCTTATATAGGGAAAAAGGCGCAAGCTAGAAGCAGGGATTCTATTGGATAATTCTAATGAGGCATTGTACAGAGCTATTCCCATTGGTCAATGTAAATGAGGCGCTATACAGGGTTATTCAAATGAGGCGAAGTACAGAGTTATTCAAATGAGGTGAAACACAGAGTCTTTCAAATGAGGCGAAATACAGAATCATTTCCATTGGATGGTTCAAATGAGACACAGAGCCATTCCAGATCAGCATATTCTCAAGGTCTGGTGTCTGGTACAACAGACGCAATTCCCCCCCCTCCGCGTCCAGATGGCTGACCTTG